GAGAGGTGGGAGGGAGACCAAAGGTACGGTCGAAGAGAAGGTTCTTGAGACCGGCCTGGAAGGAGGTGAGTGAGGAAGTGAGGCGAAGGGACCGTGGGATGGAGTTCCAGAGTGTGGGGGCAGAGAGGTTGAAAGCCCGGACACCGATGGTAGGGCAGGTCGGGCGGGAGACATGGAGCAGCCGGAGCCCACTGAACGGAGGGAGTGGGCAGGTTGGCAGGGAGTCAGCAGGTCAGAGAGGTAGGAGGGGGCGAGGCCAGGGATGGCCTTAAAGGTGAGGACGAGGATCTTGAACTCGTTCCTCTGGGGGATGGGGAGCCAGTGGAGTCGGGCGGGGGCGATGGGGTCGGGCGGGGGCGATGGGGTCGGGCGGGGCGATGGGGTCGGGCGGGGGCGATGGGGTCGGGCGGGGGCGATGGGGTCGGGCGGGGGCGATGGGGTCGGGGAGTCTGGTGCGTGAGAGTACATGAGCTGCAGAGTTTTGGATGATCGGCAGGATGTGAAGGGAAGAGTTGGGAAGGCCGATGAGAAGGGAGTTCCTGTAATCGAGCCTTGAGGTGACGAATGCGTGAGGGTGAGGGTTTGGGGGCCTGAGGGGTGAGGCAGTGGCGGAGTCTGGCAGTGTTGCGGAGGTGGTGGTGGGCAGTGCCGGTCATGGCGCGGATGTGGGGGAGAAAGGACAGTTCAGGGTGGGGTTGAGTGTGAAGTGCTTTGAGACGTCTCGAAGATGTGATAAAGTGCTACATCAAATGCAAGGGTTATTATAGACTATTCGATGATTTGTCAACATCTCCATTATTATTAGAGCCACGGCCAGGATGGGAGAAGGTGAGCGAGATGCACCTTGGTCTTTTTTCATCTAGCAGTTCCTATGTTGAACTCAGTTTAGACAGACACTCCAATACAGTGCTGTAGGAACAGTACCTTGTCAGAGGTGCGTCCTTCGGATGAGACACTGAATTGAGATTGCTGTCTGCATGTTCAGTTGGACATTAAAGAACCTGTGGCACTGCTCGAAAAGAGAAGAAAGTTCCTCTAGGTGTAAAGTTTGGCATAAAATTTGTCATTCAGCCATTCACTTCATGGTTATTTGTGAGACACTGCTATGCACAAATTGGCTTCCAAGTTTGTCTACAAAATACATAGTCACTACACTTCAATAATGCAGTAGAACAACAACAACAAGATTACATTTGTATAGCGCCTTTCACGTCGGGAGGACGTCCCAAGGCACTGGACAAGAGTACAGCATTTTAGACCCGAGCTGGGGTCAGGGAGGGAGCAGGTCACTCAAGGATTGTATAGGATGAACATAATGATCTTTAAAATTATATAGGATGAACATTCAACAACCAAACTCACTAAAATAAAGGCATTGTCACATTTAAAACAGATCATAGAATTATACAGCACAGAAGGAGGCCATTTAGCCCATTGTGTCTCTTTCGGCTCTTTTATAAGAGCTTCCAAATCAATCCCACTCCCCGCTCTCAACAACAACAACTTGGATTTATATAGCGCGCTCCACGCCAGACGGCGTCTCAGAGCGCTTCACAGTAACGGATCCCAGGGCCGAGTCAGGGGGAGGGGAAGAAGGTGACCAAAGGTGCGGTCGAAAAGAAAGGTCTTCAGCAGAGACCTGAAAATGGGAAGAGAGGGGCGAGACGAAGGGAGTGAGGAAGGCAGTTCCAGAGCCTCGGGGCACAGGGGCTGAAGGCACAGCCGCCGAGGGTGGAGCGGAGCACTTCGGGGACTCTCTCCCACTCCCCCCATAGCCCCGATCAACCCCACTCCCCCCCCCCCCCCCCCCCCCCCCCCCCCCCCCCCCCCCCATAGCCCTGATCAACCCCACTCCCCCCCCCCCCCCATAGCCCTGATCAACCCCACTCCCCCCCCCCCCCATAGCCCTGATCACCCCACTCCCCCCCCCCCCATAGCCCTGATCTACCCCACCCCCCCCCCCCATAGCCCTGATCAACCCCACTCCCCCCCCCCCCCCATAGCCCTGATCAACCCCACTCCCCCCCCCCCCCCATAGCCCTGATCAACCCCACTCCCCCCCCCCCCCCATAGCCCTGATCAACCCCACTCCCCCCCAACCCCCATAGCCCTGCACACTTGTCCTCCCAAAATAATTACTCTCTTAAAAGTTGTTATGGAATTGTCTTCCCTCAGCCTTTCAGGAAATGCATTCCAGATCCCAACAACTCGCTGTGTAAACATTACTCCTCCCCTCCCCTCTGTTTCTTTTAATAACCATTTTAAACCGGTGCCCTCGGGTTCCCGACCCACCGCCAGTGGGAATAGTCTCTCCTGTTCACTCTATCGAATCCCCTCATCATTTTGAAAACTTCTATTAAGTTTCCCCTTAACCCTCTCTGTTCCCCGGAGAATAATCCTCACTTCTCTGCCTCTCCTGATCACTGAAGGCCCTCATTCCTGGTACCATTCTGGTCAATCTCCTTCGCTCCCTCTCCAATGCCTTGACATCCTTCCTAAAGTGTGGGGCCCAGAACTGAGCCCAGTCTCTCGCTGAGGCCCCACCAGTGATTTATATAAAGGTTCATCGTGACTTCCTGACTTGTGTATTCTATGCCCTATTTATAAAGCCTCGTGTCCGGATGCTTTATTAACAGCTGTATCTACCTGTCCGGTCACCTTCAGAGATTTACTATATGACCCCCAGGTCTCTCTGTCCCTTCACCCCCTTTAAGATTGTACCATCAGCTTATATGGCCTCTCCTCATTCTTCCTCACAAACTCCATCACTTTGCATTTCTCCACATTAAACGCCATCTGCCCCGTGTCGGCCCATGTTACCAGTCTGTGTCTCAGTGCTTTGGGACCTCCTCCCGATGTGAAAGGCGCTCTATAAATGTAATTTTGTTGTTGTTGTCTATGTCCTCTTGCACTCTGCTTCCATCCTCATGATTGTTTATGATTTTCCTAGCTTCGTATCATCTGAAAACTTTGTACTCCCTATACCCAAGTCCAAGTCATTTATATCGATAAGTCAAGGAAAACATCCTTTACTTGTCCCAACATACCCAGTTCCTCAGCATAAATGAGAGGGGTCTTTGATGTTTGAGGCTGCTTTTCCTGTTCCTTCTCCTGTGGGTCTTGTTCCTCAGTGTCCCTGGTCCCTAGTGGAAAGGTTAGGCTCCAGGCACCAGGCGAAGTCGATTTTATGCTTGCACCGCTTCCACGATCTAAACACTCCCCGTGACGCGCATGAGCGACAGGAGCCCACTACGCCCACAGTAGAAGCGTCGAGCAAACAGCACCTGTGGCCTGAGGCCTAGCGCTCTGTGTACAGGATAGTAACGGAGGGGAGGTTTGTACCGCATTTGTACCGTTGTAGTGGCCACAATCAATGACCGTTGTCCTGAATAGTGAGGTGCCTGGTTTACTGAAGCAGACAACCTGTCTTTTAACATAGACAATGACTTTGAAAATGGCCCGCAATTGTGAGGTGGCTGGATTGCTGACCGCAAACTGGGTTTTTAACTGTATAATCCTTATATTTGATACAGTGCCCTATCACGTCTTTGAGACGTCTCAAAAGCGCTTCACAGAATATACAGTAAAGTGAATTGACTGTATATTTTTTGGGTGAAACGCGGCAGCCAATTGTGCACAGTAGTGAGTGTCCTACAAACAGTCACAGATTCAGTGACCAAATTGTTATTTTTTTGGCAAACTGCCAATGACCAGGATCCTACTTACTGCTAGGTAAACAGACGTGTGGCGTAAGGAAACTTGCCCACTGTTTTGCCCTGCCCAGAAATCAAACTATGGTCTTCTCGCTTGCGAGGCGAGTGCTCTTACTCTCGGTGTGCACATTTTAGCTGCCGCCACTGACCCAAGCTGTTTCTCCATAATGCTCCCACCCTTGTCTGCCACCGTCCTCTAATCCTGATCTAATCACTAATCCTCTTCTCCCACCGTCCTCCCCGACTCCTGTCCCTGCTCGACCGACCCACAGCCTCCCTCTGCTCCGGCAAATCCTCCGTCAGGCCGACCGCAAGGCCCATCGGTCCCTGACCCCGTGGGCCAACCTCTCCTCCCTCATCCACATCCCCACCTTCCGTGTCGGACCTCCCCCCCTCTCCCCCACATTCCACCACCAACCAACTGTCCCCTCCGCATCGGCCGACAGAATGTCCGCTCCCTCTTCAATAAAAGACCATCCAAGACCTCAGTGTCGAGGAAAACATTGAACCTGGTGCAACTTAGGCACCAGGTTGGACCTCCAGCTTTCCTTTCTATCACACATCTGGTCCCTGGGCAGGACGGCTCTCCTCCACTCTGCCACATTGCCCACCTCCGTCCGTACCTCACTCCAAAAGCTACCGAAACCCTTGTCCATGGCTTTGTCACCTCCCTCCTTGCCGGTCTCCCCTGCTCCACTATTCACCTGATTCAAAACTCCGCCGCCCACATTCTCACCCACAATAAACTCTGTACCTCAGTCCTTGTCAAACTCCATTGACTCCCTGTCACAGAGCGGATCGATTCCAAGATCCTCATTCTTGTATTTAAATCTCTTCACGCCCTGGCCACACCCCACCCATCTCTCCAACCTGCTTTCTCCCTACACAGCTACTCGCTGCCTCTGCTGGACTGGCTCCGGCCTCCTCCTTGTCCCTGGACACTCCATCCCACCTTCAGTGGTTGTGCTTTCAGTCACTACATCCCGAAGCTGTGGAAATCTCTCCCTCAATCCTTTCGCCTTCGCCCTCTCCCTATTTTCAGGTTACGCTTGAAAACCTTCCTCTTCGACCGTACCTGAGGTCACCTTCCCCCTCCCCCTGGCTCGGCATCAGGCTCAGCCACTGTTAAGCTCTGAGGCGCCGCCCGGCATGAAGGGCGCCATATAAATGTAAGTTGTTGATTTCTGATCAACAGCATTTTGTAAAGGGCTTTGCGGAATTTATTTCTGGATGAAAGGCTCTCTGTTCCTGCAGGTTGTTTAGATTTGACCATGTTCTTGGTGACAGGTGGCATTGACCAGTCAGTGCTGAAGGAGCTGCCCCCAGATCTTGTTGCTGAGATCGAGTCCACCATGCCGCTGTGTGAGCGAGTGAAGATGATCAAACGGAAGCGCAGCACAGTGAAGGAGAAGCCAAACTATGCCGAAATCAGCTCGGACGAGGGTGACAATGATAGCGAACAAGACTTTGAATGTAAGTAGTTCTGACAGCACTTAGAAATCCATTTAGAAATATCTACATGTAATGTGTGGCTTTGAAATGGTCTGATGCTAGTTAGGATTACTCAGGAGTACCTCTCTTTATATTGGATGTTTCTCTCCAGGGAGAGAGAGCTCATTCCATTCCAACAATCTCTCTCTGAGATTTCCGTGTGTAGGTGGGATACATGGAAATCTCAGCTTGGTTTGGAGACTCTTAAGCACAGTGATGGGTTTCCGTAAGTGTCAGACACTCGGATGGCCAAACAAAATGCTTCAATTGTGCACAACAATGCTTCACATTCAACGCTGTTCAAAGATGAGCGAACACATTTGAGGTAAAAATTGTACATTGCACTGGACTTACTCCCATTGTTTTGTGTAACATAATAATAATAATAATCCTTGCATTTGATATAGTACCTTATCACGTTATCGAGACGTCTCAAAGCGCTTCACAGAATACACTGTAAAGTGAATTGACTGTAGGTTTTGTGGGCGTAATGAGATCTTAATATTGGATACAAGAGATGAGTCTCTCACACACAGATAGACACACACACACTCATACACATTCACACACACACATTTGCAGCTGCACATACTACACACACCCAACACACACCACATACACACACCTCACAGACCACACACACAACTACACACAGACACATATCCCACACACCTGCACACATACCCAGACACACACCCCACACGCCTGCACACACACCCCACACACGCAGACACACACCCCACACGCCTGCACACACACCCCACACGCCTGCACACACACCCTGCACACGCAGACACACACCCCACACACCTGCACACACCCCCCACACGCCTGCACACACACCCCACACGCCTGCACACACACCCCACACACACAGACACACACCCCACACGCCTGCACACACACCCCACACGCCTGCACACACACCCCACACACGCAGACACACACCCCACACACCTGCACACACCCCCCACACGCCTGCACACACACCCCACACGCCTGCACACACACCCCACACGCCTGCACACACCCCACACGCCTGCACACACACGCCTGCACACCACACACCCCCACACCCCCACACCCCACACGCCTGCACACACACCCCACACCCCACACGCCTGCACACACACCCCACACGCCTGCACACACCCCACACACCTGCACACACACCCCACACACCTGCACACACACCCCACACGCCTGCACACACACCCCCCACACACAGACACACACCCCACACACACACTCAGGTTCCATCACAAACAGAACTCCCATCAGCTGAGTTGGGAACATTTGCTCTGTGTCTCCCTCTAGTGGGCTCAGGTTCAAGCCGTCGATGCCCGGTGATCATTGACGTCCCACAAGCGCAGATTAGTTCCACTCACTGACTGGAAGCACATCTGTCTGACAATTTCCAACCCTGGTTTTTAAACAGGGATTTCTGTTTAGTTTGCAGTCTATTCATCTTATTTTTGAATATATCTGTGTTACTTCTGATGTCAGCCTGGCACATTTCGTAGCACTCTCTCCTCCGAGTCCGAAGGTTGTGACTCAAGCCCCAAGTTGGAACGTACCTAGCCTTGGCTTATGGTCCACGGAGATACAATCCTTCAGATGAGATGTTAAGCCAAGGACTCGTCTGGATGTTCAGGTGGATGTTAAAGATCCCGAGGAGTTATTTGCAAAGAAAAGGGAGTTTCTCCCAGTGTCATGGCCAACGATGCCCCAAACAAAATTGGTCATTCATTTTATGGCAGTTTGTGGGCCTTGCTTGCTGCAGTTTGACTGCTATGTTCACCTACAAAATGCATGATCACTACATCGGAGTCCTGTACCTTAGTGGTCAGAGCACTTGCCTCGCAAGAGAGACCTGGGTTTGATTTCCAAGCAGGGTGAAACGTTAGGCAAGTTTCCTGACTCCACACCCCTCTGTGCCTAGCAGTAAGTAAGAACCCGGTTGTTAATCAATAGGCGGATAGCTTTTCCAGGGGTAATAATCTCTTTAAAATAAATGATAATTTTGTCATTCAAACCCAGACTTTTGTGGAACACTGCTGTGTGCAATCAAAGTATACACGTCTTGAAGACCTGATGCAATAAAATTACATTTGTAAAGCACCTTTCACGTCGGGAGGACGTCCCAAGCAGGTGAACAGTCAGGGATTAGGACCATTGGGGTGAGGGGGGTGGGGGGGGGGTGCCAGAGAGGGTAGAGGGAGGCCGAAGGCATGGCCAAAGAGGAGGGTCTTGAGGTGTAGCTTGAAGGAGGCAAGGGAGGGAGCGAGGTGAAGGGAATGTGGGATGGAGTTCCAGAGGGTGGGGGCAGAGAGGCTGAAGGCCTGACCGGCGATGGAGCAGACTGGAGCCCGCTGAGCAGGGGAAGCGGACAGGTTGATATGGGGTTAGCAGGTCGGAGAAATAGGAGGGGGCAAGGCCATGGAGGCGGTGAGGGTGAGGATTTTGAACTATAACCTCTGGGGGATGGGGAGCCAGTGGAGCCGAGTGAGGGTGATGGGGTCACGGAGTCTGGTGTGGGAGAGGACACGAGCTGCAGAGTTCTGGATGATCTGCAGCTTGTTGAGGGAAGAGTTGGAGGCCGACAAGCAGGGTGTTGGCATAGTCAAGCCTGGATGTAATGAAAGGGTGTATGAAGGTTTCGGCAATCTGAGAGGTGAGGCACTGGCGGAGTCGGGTGATGCAGTGGAGGTGGGGAAGGCAGAGCGGGTCATGGCATAGATGTGGGGGAGAAAGGACAGTTCAGGGTCAAACAAGACACCTAGTTCCTCACTGGCTTGGTGAGGTGGAGTGTGCATCCGTGGATGCTGATGCTGCTAGTTCCTGAGGTGTGGAGGCACTGACGGGAGCCAATCAGAAGCTCGGTCTTGCTGACGTTCAACTGTAGAAAGTTCGCTCTCATCCAGGAATTAATGTCTGACAGACATTCTGTCAGGGCAGTAGTGAGTCCTGGAGTCGAGGGTGGAGGCAGAGAGGTAGATTTGTGTGTGATCTGCGTACTTGTGAAATTTGACCCCATGTCTGGATGATGTCTCCCAAGAGGGAGCATGTACAGGTTGAAGAGGAGGGCACCAAGCACAGAGCCCCGAGGAATGCCACACGAGACGGTGCAGGAGGAGAAGCCGTTTGTGGAGATAAGGCACTATATCAATTCAAGGATTATTATTTTACAATAAATCCTTTGAAGTGTTTTGAAATGTCCCCCTGACATGAAAGACGCTAACATATGTAAGGATTTTTATTATTTGGATTAGGATGGATGCGGTTTGGAGAACATGAGTTGCCTCCTCCTGTGCCCTACATTTCAAACGATCTTTGGATAATCCATAATTATAATCCTGTTATTTCTGCAGTTTAGAGTCATAGGAATTTACAGCACAGAATGTGGCCAGCCATCCGGCCCATCGTGCTGTGCTGCTCTTTGAAAGAGCAATCTATTCCAAAGGGAGGAATCCCTTTACCTGCCTTTCCCCATCATGGAGTCCTGTAACTCAGTGCTCAGAGCACTCTCCTCAGTCTGGGATGCACTGCCTGAAAAGGTGGTGGAATTAAATGGGTACTTAACAATGTGCAGGGCTATGGGGTAAGAGTGGGGGAGCGGGACTAGTTGGTAGCTTTTTCAAAGAGGCAGCACAGGCACGATGGGCCGAATCCCTTTCTGTGCTGTAAAATTCTATGATTCTAAGTAACCATTCTCTTATTCCTTTCGTGTATCCAATTCTGTTTTTTTTACCAATACCTATATTTTGTTCAAAAGCAGCATTGGAATCTAATTAATATTACCATCTGCCTCACTTCATTCTCTACTTAAACCTGTCAATTGTATTAGTAAATGTAATAAAGATAAACTAATTGCTATGTATCTCTTGCTGATCTCCAGCCTCTAGAAAGAGACACAAGAAGGACAAGGAGGTGGATAAAGCCTGGGAGTGTGAAGATCGAGACCGGCGTGTCTTAAATGAGTTGCGAAAAAGCAGCCATTCTCACGATGGCAGAAGAAGCTCAGGGAGCAGCAGGTATCGGGAGAAGAGCCCAGAGTCTGAGGAGGGTTCTCCCCCACCGAGTCTCAGTGAAAGTAAGTGCATTCGCCTCCACCTTCCCTCAGTGAGAGTAATTGCATTTCCTCACACCTTCCTTCAGCAGCTTTCACAAAGCAGATTGCACTCCCATCACCCCAGTCCTTGCCTGGCTCCCTATCGCCGAACAGATTGATTTCAACATCCTCAAGCTCATTTACAAATCCTTTCATGCCCTGGCACCTTCCGACCTCTCTGATCTACTTACTCCCCAACCCACTACTGCTGCCTCTGCTCGACTGGCTCGGAGGGCACAAGGGACTGGCATGTCCCTTGGGCCCTCTGTTCCACCATCAGTGACTGTGCTTTCAGCCACTGTGCCATGACTTAGTTGCCTTTTACTTCTTAAGGGAAATCATACGGAATTGACTGACAGTCAGTCAATTGTGGGAGGTGCTGTCCTTCAGATAAGACATAAATCTAAGGTCCTGGGGTGTGGAAGCTTGTGGAATATAAACACCAGCATGGATCAGTTGGTCTGAATGGCCTGTTTCCATGCTGCAGTGTTCTATGTACTTCTATCTTATGTGGGATTAATAAGATCCTAAACCATTTTAAACTTTTACAGTTGCCAAAAAGATGAGGAAAAGAGAGAAACAAAAGAAGAGGAAAGCTTACGAACCCAAACTTACTCCGGAAGGTAAGATCCTCACACTGACACTGACAAGCACAGAGCCTGGCAGGGTCAGATTTGTCCCAAAAAGCATTTGATTTCACCGTTTCGAAGTAAAACTGAAGTCCTGCATCTCAGTATTTAGAGCACTCGCCTCGTAAGCGAGAGGACCTGCGTTTGATGCCCAGGCAAGGCAAAACCTTAGACAAGTTTCCTTACTCCACCACCCCTCTGTTTACCAGCAGTAAGTAGGAACCCAACTGTTAGTCGATTGGTGGATCGCTTTTCTGGGGGTAATAATCCTTTTAAAACAATAAATGATAATAATTTGGTCACTCAATCCACAACTGTTTGTGGGACACTCACTGCTGTGCATACAGTTGGCTGCTGCGTTTCACTCACAAAGTGTGCAGTCAATTCACTTTACAGTATATTCTGTGAAGCGCTTTGATACGTCTCAAAGACATGATAAGGTGCTATATTAAATGCAAGGATTATTATTATGAAGAAAAACTTTTGATTGAACTGAACACTATGAAGGAAGCGGATTCCAGTAACAGTGCACTATTGAACCAGTAGTTGTTGTATTACAGAAATGATGGATTCCTCAACATTCAAACGATTCACAGGGACAGTTGAAAATATCCTGGAAAACTTGGAAGATATGGACTTTACTGCATTGGGTGAGTTAGTCGCTGAAAGCCAGACTACAGGGTAAACTAAAAGGCTCTTCTGGTCTGTCCATTGATCTACATTGTGGCCTCTCCACAGGCCCCACATTGGGACATCACTCTAGGCTGATGCTCCAGGTGCTGGAGGTTGGGGTGTCATGTATCGCATTAGACTTTCACAGGAGCCGTCTGTTTGCCTCTTCAGGTAGACATTAGAGATTTTGTGGCAATATACGATAAGAGAAGGAAGTTTTGCTGCTGTGTTGGCCCACAAAATACACTGTCACTTGTTGCTACAATACTAATAAACAAAACCCAAATACTGCAGATGCTGAAAATCTGAAACAAAAACAGAAGTTACTGGAAACACTCAGCAGGTCAGGCAGCATCGATGAAGGAAGGAAAGTGAGTCAACGTTTCGGGTCCACGACCCTTCGTCAGAACTGACAATACTGGTACGAGTGTGATACGAGGATTTCAGCTGTGTCAGTTGTGAAGAAAGGCGGTGTTTGGAGGTGGAAACAAGCGATTCTGGTCAGAGAATGGATGTGGTCAGAAAGGAAAGCTGGGGATTGAACTGATGCCTAAGTTGCACATGGATTTGGAGACTCTGAGGGAGAGCCCGAGGAGGTTGAGGAGTTCAGACCTGCAGGAGAGAAGACGTTGACAGAAGCCAAAGAGTATGGCTTTCGGCTAATCGATATTCAGCTGCAGGAAATTTGTGTTCATCCAGGGCTTGATGTCTGTCAAACAGGCTGACAGGACCTCAGCGGACTGGGAGTTACAGATGAGGGAGGAGAAGTAGATTTGGGTGTCATTCACATACATGTGAAAGTTGACCCTGTGACATCGTCGAGAGGGAGGGAGCATGTCCGGGCAGGGACGGGAGGAGAAACCATTTGTGAGATGTATTATTGGCGGTTAGTTAAGTAGGACTTAAACCATGTGTGTGTGGTCCCACTAAGATGGATGAGGGAGTCATTTCACTTTACAATATATTACAGTGTATAAGCGCTAGATTCTGTGAAGCGCTTTGAGAAGTTTTGAAGACTGTGAAGACCGCATGAAAACAGGAGTCTGTACTCAGTGATTACAGGATACAGGAGTCCTGTAACTCAATGGTTAGAGCACTCGCCTTGCAAGCGAGACATCTGGAAAAAACTGGGAAAACTGGGTGAAACCTTGGGCAAGTTTCCTTACTCCACACACCTAATAATAATCCCTGAAGAAAAAAAAATAATAAATTGGTCAATCCATGACTGTTTGTGGGACATTGCTGTGCCCAATTGGCTGCCGCGTTTCACCCACAAATATACAGTTAATTCACTTTACAGTATATTCTGTGAAGTGCTTTGAGACGTCTCGAGCACGTGAAAAGCAATATATTAAGTGGTGGAATTATTATTATTATTACTTGTTTTATTGACATTGTTTTTAACGTCCCTGTTTCCTTTTGTTGGACGAACTCAGAGTTGTGTGACAGTTGCTCCAGGTGACACAATGGGTCTCACTTGCTGTTCTCTCTACAGGGGATGAAGATGAGGTCCCTCAGGAACTGCTGCTGGGGAAACAACAACTGAATGAGCTGAGCAGCGAATCTGCCAAAATTAAAGCCATGGGGATCATGGACCGGGTGTGTATATGTTAATGTTTACAATCTGACACTGGTAGCTCTTCACACGTGAGAAACGTCTGCAGGGCTGAGCAGATTGTGATGTGTGTGAGGAAAAGATGGTATGTTGAGGGTGTGTGTGAGGGGAAGATGGTGTATGTGAGTGAGAGTGTGTGAAAGGAAGATGGTATGTTGAGGGTGTGTGTGAGGATGTGTGAGAGTGTTGAGTCAGGGTGTTTGCTGAGGGTGTGTGAAGGGAAGGTGGTGTGTGTGAGGGTGTGAATGAGGGTGTGAGGGTGTGTGCACAGGTGTGTGTACAAGATGGTGTTAGTGAGGGGGTGTGTGAGGAGACAATGGTGTGTGTGAGGGGAAGATTGTGTGTGAGTGAGGGGAATATTGTGTGAGGGTGTTGTTGAGGGGAAGATGGTGTGGATCAGGGTGTGTGAGGGGAAGATGGTGAGGGTGAGCTTTGGAGGTTGATGTTGCTTTGAAGGAGGAAGTTTATATATAGAGCAGGTAATGAATGATCTGCAGATTCTCTGAGCTCCATGTCAATCCAAGTCTGCATGTCAATGGTGTAAACACTTGACTGTCCAGCCTTGGGACGTCCTTGACATGAAAGACACTGTATGAATGCTATTATTGTTGTGCATCTTTCATGGCCATCCTTAGAAGGTCTCATTTCTTCTAAAGCTCTGGTGTGGAGAAATGTTAATCTCTCACTGTATTGTATCTTCACAGCTCCCAACAGATAAGATGGTGAAAGTGCTGAGTATCCTGGAGAAAAACATACAGGATGGGGCCAAACTTTCCACTTTATTCAACCACGTGAGTTTTCAGATGTGTTGTCAACGTGTGGATCTACCTAGCAGAATATGGTTAAAGCTGGGCCGATTGTTGAACAATTAGGATATTGTGCAATATGTAACTTGTAGAATCCTGTAGTGTTGTGGTTAGACCACTCGCCTCGCAAGCGAGAAGACCTCGGATTGATTCCGGGCATGGTGAAACTTTAGGAAAGTTTCCTTACTCCTCATGCCTGTTTACCTGGCAGTAAGTGGGAGCCCGCTTGTTAGTTGATTGTCGGATCGCTTTTCTGGGGGTAATAATCTCTTTTAAAAAAGGTATAAAAGGTGTAATAATAATAATAATTACGTGGTCACTCAATCCCCCGACTGTTTGTGGGACACTCACTGCTGTGCGCGATTGGCTGCTGAGTTTTGCCCACAAGCCCCGTAGAGTCCTGTAGCTCAGTGGTTAGAGCACTCGCTTTGCAAGTGAGAGACCGGAGTTCAATCCCGGGGGGTCAGGGCCAAACCTCGGGCAAGTTTCCTTACTCCACACAGAGCCTAATAATAATCCTCCAAAACAAAACAATAATAAATTGGTCATTTTCAATCCACGACTGTTTGTGGGACATTGCTGTGCGCAATTGGCTGCCGCGTTCGCCCACAAATATACAGTCAATTCACTTTACTGTGTGTTCTGTGAAGCGCTTTGGGACGTCCTCCCGACGTGAACAGCGCTATATCAAATGCAAGGATTATTATTATTATTAAAACATACAGTCAATTCACTTTACAGTATATTCTTTGAAGTGCTTTGAGACATCAAAAACGTGATAAGGAGCTATATCATAGAATCATACAGCACAGAAAGAGGCCATTCTGCCTATTGTGTCTGCACCGGCTCCTAAAACAGCAATCCAACCCAGTCCCACTGGCCCACTTTCTCCCCATAGCCCTGCAATCCTGTCCTCCCCAATACCCATCTATTTCTCTCTTAAAAGTTGTTATTGGAACGGCTTCCACTACCCTTTCAGGCAATGCATTCCAGATCCCAACACCTCTTTGGGTGAAACATTTTCTCCTAACCTGCCCTCTGTCTATCTATCTTAAACTAACTTATATCAGTGTCCTCGGGTTACTGACCCACATTCCAGTGGGAACAGTTTTTCCCGGTTCAACCTATCAAATCCTCTCATGATCTTGAAAACCTCTATTAAATCCCCTCATAATCTTCTCTGCTCCAGGGAGAATAATCCTAGTTTCTCTAACCTCTCCTCATAACTAAGGTCCTTCATTCCTGGTACCATCGGGTAAACCTCCTTTGCACCCTCTCCAATGCCCGAACATCATTCCTAAAGTGCAGTGCCCAGAACTGAACGCAGTCTCCAACTGAGGCCTAATCAGCATTTTATAAATATTCAGCATAACTCCTGACTTGTGTACTCTATGCCCTATTTGTAAAGCCGAGTATCCCGGATGCTTTTATAACCTCTTTATCTACCTGTCCGGCCACCTTCAGAGATTTGCTGATGTGGACCCCCAGGTCTCTCTGTTCATTTGCCCCCTTTAAGATTGTACCATCAGCTTATATTGCCTCTCCTCATTCTTCCTACCCAAACGCAACACTTCGCATTTCTCCACATTAAACCTCATCTGCCACTATCTGCCCATGTTACCATCTGTCTAAGTCCTCTTGGAGTCTGGTACTATCCTCCTCACCATTAACTACTTTTCCTATCTTAGCGTTCTCTGCAAATTTGGAAATTGTGCTCCGTATATCCAGGTCCAGATCATTAATATAGATCAGAAAGAGCAGTGGTCCCAATACTGACCTCTGAGGGACACCACTACACCCCTTCCTCCAGTCAGAAAAGCAACCGTTTACTACCCCTTTCTACCATTGACTAACCTTTTACTCTTGATATGCTTATACATTACCTGAGGGTTCCCTTTTATGTTTCCTGCTAATCTTTTCTCATGCAATCTCTTTGCTCCCTTATTTCCCTTTCACTTCTCCTCTGTACTTATATGTACTATATTCTATTTGATTATCCTGTGTGTTTTGGACTTGACATTTGTCATAAACCTCCTTTTTCTGTTTTAATCCAAATTTCCTTAGTCATCCAGGCAGGTTTGTATGCCCTTCTTTCCCCTTTGTGAGAATGTATTTGCTCTGTCCCCGAACTATAGAATCATAGAATCATGGAATTGTACAGCACAAAAAGAGGCCATTCGGCCCATCGAGTCTGTGCGACTGTTTGAATAGAGCAATGTAATGTCAGTCCCACTCCCGGCCCTTTCCCCATAACCCGCAAACCCGTCTCCTCAAATACCCGTCACCGCGTTGTTAAAAGTAGTTATGGAATAGGCCTCCACCGCCCTTTCAGGCAATGTTGCAGATTCCCACAACGCGCTGCGTGAAGCACTGTCTTCTCCCCTCCCCTCGGCTTCCTTCAGAGACTATTCTCAATCTGTGACCTCGAGTCACCGACACTCCCACCAGTGGGAACAGTTTGTCCCTCTCTAACCCATCAAATCCCCTCATGATGTTGAAGACCTCTATTAGGTCCTCGTAACCTTCTCTGCTCCAATGAGAATAATCGCGGCCTCTCCGGCCTTTCCTCATCATCACGGTCCCTCATTCCTGGTCCCATCCTCGTAAATCTCCTCTGTACCCTTTCCAATGCCTTAACGTCCTTCCTATAGTGTGGGGCCCAGAACTGGGGCCGTATTCTAACTGAGGCCTAACCAGTGTTTATATGGGTTAATCATCACCTCCTGACTCTTGTACTCTATGCCCCTATTTATAAAGCCCAGTATCCCATATGCCCCTTTACAGCCTTATCTCCCTGTCCTGCCACCTTCAAGGATCCAGTTACCTGCCCCCCCAGATCTCTCTGTTCCTTCACCCCCCCCTTAAGATTGTATTAGCGCCTATATTGCCCCTCATTCTTTCTACCAAAATGCATTACTTCACATTGAAACTCATCTGCCACGTGTCGCCCATTTTACCATCTGTCTCTGTCTTCCTGCAGTCGGCTCCTATCCTTCTCACTGTTTACCCTCTCCCTAACTTTGTGTCGTCCGCAAACTTGGAAATGGTATTTGCTATACCCAAGTCCAGATCATTTATGTATATTAGGAAGAGCAGTGGTCCTAATACCGATCCCTGGGGGACACCACTGTACACTTCCCTCCAGTCAGAAAAGCAGCCGTTCACCACAACTCTCTGCTTTCTGTCTCCCAGTGAGTTCTGGATCCGCTGCCACTGTCCCTTTTATACCATTGGCTTCTATCTTTCTTACAAGTCTTTCATGTGGCACTTTGTCAAATGCCTTTTGAAAGTCCATATAAACTACATCAACTGCACTACCTTTATCCCCTCTCCGTTACCTCATCGAAAAATTCTATTAGATTTGTTAGACAAGATTTGCCTTTAACAAATCCGTGTTGTCTGTCCCTAATTAACCCATATTCTTCTAAGTGAAGATTTATTCTGTCCCGGATTATAGTCTCCAGGAGTTTCCCCACTACTGATGTCAGGCTGACTGGCCTGGAGTTCCCAGGTTTGTCCTTCTGTCCCTTTTTGTACAGGAGAGTCACATTGGCCACTCTCCAGTCCTCCGGCACCACTCCTGTGTCCAACGAAGATTGAGAAATTGTGGCCAAAGCCTCCGCTATTTGTCCCCGTGGCTCCCATAGTGACCTTGGTTACTATCTCCTCCTTGAAGGCTTCCCATTGTTCGTTTGCCGTCTTACCTCCCAATCTCCCTTTCCTGTCTTTCTTGGCCTGGTCCCTTTTTAGCTCACTGAAATTAATCCGCTTCTAGTTGAGGGTCTTTACCTTTGATTGATTGTTGTCCTTTTCCGTAACTATTCTAAACCTAATGATATTGTGATCACTGTTGTCCAGATGCTCTCCTACTGAAACCTGCTCCACTTGCCCCACTTCGTTTCCCAGAACTAATTCCAGCTCTGCTTCCTTTCTTGTTCGGCTGGAAACACGCTGATCTGGAAAGATCTCCTGCACACATTTCAGGAATTCCTCCCCCTCCTTGCCCTTTACACTGTGTGTTTCCCAGTCTTGTTAGGATCATTGAAGTCCCCCATTATCACTACTCTGTTGGTTTTGCGTCTCTCCGAAATCTGCTGCAGATTTGCTAGTCTCTCCTTCCCACTATTTAGAGGTCTATAATAAATACCTAACAGAGTAACAGCTCCTTTTCTGCTTCTTAACTCTAACCAAATAGTTCAGTTTTTGGACCCTCTAACACATCGTCCTTTTCCAGGACTGTGACCGTGTCCCTAATGAGTGTTGCCATCCCTCCTCCTTTTTTCCCTTCCCTATCCCTCCTGAATAGGTTGTAGCCAGGAATATTCAGCTCCCATTCCTGTCCTTACTTGAGCCAAGTCTCCGTAATTGCCGCTACATCATAGTCCCATGTGGCACCTTGAGCCGCAGCTCACCAATATTATTGATCACGCTCCGTGCATTTACATACATGTACTCCAAGACCGGCTTAATCCGCTCTACATTTCTCCCCCCTCTTTCCCCTTTTTGATGATCTATTCCTTGTTTCATTTCCGTTTGTCTCTCCTCGTCCACAATGTAACTCGTTTCCCCTCCCTGATGCTACATTCTGATCCCCATCCCCCCTCGAAATCAGTTTAAACGCTTCCCCGCAGGATTTGTTATCCCTGTTACAATGACATTGGTCCCAGCCCTGCTCAGGTGTAACTCATCTCTCATGAACAGGTCCCATCTGCCCCAGAAGTGGTCCCAGTGGTTTAGAAACCTGAAGCCCTCCATCCTGCACCATTTCTCCAGCCAGACATTCATGTGTTTGATCCTCCCGGTTTGCTGTTCACTTGCATAAGGCTTTGGGAGTAATCCCGAGATCACCACCATTGAGGTCCTGCTCTTCAGCTTCTTCCCAAGTTTCTGATATTCTCTTGTAGGGTCTCAGCCCTTTTATCACCTACATCATGGATCCCGACATGGACCACCACTTCCGGATTTTCCCCTTCCTCCTGTAGTATATTTTGCACCCGTTCCGTGACGTCCTGCACCCCGGCCCCAGGGAGGCAGCATACCAGGCACGAGTCCCGTCTTTTATGGCAGAAACGCCTATCTATCCCTTTAGCTGTTGTATCCCCGATAACAACAGCATTGGCATTTTGCCCCTTATGCCTCTGAACATCCATCGCCTTTTGACTCTTCTCACCAGAGGCTTTCTCCCCAGTGTCCAGTACCGAGAACCGGTTTGTGAGTGCCACACTCTAAGGGCATTTCTGTACTGCCTGTTCTTTTTTTGCTGTCTGTGTACTGGATGGAAACCCCTGGACAGTGTGCGTGGGGGGAATCTCTGGCCTGCGCGCACTGGGGAGAGGGTATCCTGTCTGTGTGCACTGTGGGGAATACCCCATCTGTATTGGGAGAATCCCCCGTCTGTGCGCAGGGAGTTCCCCGGCCGCGTGTAGGGAGAGGGAATCCCCTGGCCGAGTGTAGGTGGAGGGGTGTCCCCTGGCCGAGTGTAGGTGGAGGGGTGTCCCCTGGCTGTGTGTAGGGCGGAGGGGTGTCCCCTGGCTGTGTGTAGGGGGGAGGGGTGTCCCCTGGCTGTATGTAGGGGGAGGGGTGTCCCCTGGCTGTGTGTAGGGGGAGGGGTGTCCCCTGGCTGTGTGTAGGGGGAGGGGTGTCCCCTGGCCGAGTGTAGAGGGAGGGGTGTCCCCTGGCTGTGTGTAGGGGGAGGGGTGTCCCCTGGCTGTGTGTAGGGGGAGGGGTGTCCCCTGGCTGTGTGTAGGGGGAGGGGTGTCCCCCTGGCTGTGTGTAGGGGGAGGGGTGTCCCCTGGCTGTGGGGGGGGGGGTGTCCCTGGCTGTGTGTAGGGGGAGGGGTGTCCCCTGGCCGAGTGTAGAGGGAGGGGTGTCCCCTGGCTGTATGTAGGGGGAGGGGTGTCCCCTGGCCGAGTGTAGAGGGAGGGGTGTCCCCTGGCTGTGTGTAGGGGGAGGGGTGTCCCCTGGCTGTGTGTAGGGGGAGGGGTGTCCCCTGGCTGTGTGTAGGGGGAGGGGTGTCCCCTGGCTGTGTGTAGGGGGAGGGGAGTCCCCGGTTGTGTGTGGGGTGTGTGGGCGGGGTGGGAATCTCCTGGCTGTTTTTAGAGGAGATGATGGACTTCCTCGAATCCAAAGTCGAGGGGATCTGCTTTGCTGCCTCTATCGCTACCTCGTCCCCTCTCGCTCCCCTTCCAGCCCCCCCACCCTCCATTCCTCCCTCCACACTTTTGATCTTGTCTCCCTCTCTTCCCTCACCTCCATCATTTCCTGTATGAAACCCACCACCTGCTCCCTTGACCCCATCGCCACCCCTCTCCTCACCACCTCCTTACCCCCCTATGGACAGACCTTGTTAACCTCTCCCTGTCCACTGGCACTGTACCCATCCCCCTAAAGACAGCCGTCATCACCCCTACCCTCAAAAAAGCTTCCCTTGATCCATCTCTGCTCCCAACTACCGCCCCATTTTAAACCTTCCTGTTCTTTCCAAGGTCATAGAACGGGGAGAGGAAAGAGCAAACACTTGCCTGCTTCACTCTTTCCTCTCCCAGCATTCCTTCCATGAACCCCTCCAATCTAGGTTTTTGTGCCGCCCACAGAACAGAGTCAGCCCTGGTCAAAGACACCAATAACATTCTATTCGCCTGTGACCAGGGCTCTTTCTGTCTCCTCATCCTTTTCGACCTCTCAGACGCTTTCGATATTGTTGACCACTCTATTTTTCTCCACTGCCTCTATTCTATCTCCACCTCAACGATTCTGTCGTTGCCTGATTCCAATCCTACCTTTCTCATTGTCTTCAATGTCCACCAACATCTTCTCCTCTAGCCCCGCATTGTCACATGTGGCGTTACTCAGGGCTTTGTCCTCTCCCCTCCTCTTCAGTCTATATATGCTCACACTAGGTGATTTAGCAAGCGAGTGGACCCAGGTTCGATTCCAGGGCAGGGCAAAACATTGGGCAAGTTTCCTTACTCCACATGCCTCTGTTTACCTAGCAGTAAGCAGGAACTCGGTTGTTAGTCAATTGGCAGATCGCTTTCCCGAGAGTAATAATCGCTTAAAAAAATAATTTATTCATTCAATCTACGACTGTTTGTGGGACGCTGCTTTGCGCAGTTGGCTGCTGTATCGCCCACAAAATATTCTGTCAATTCACTTTACAGTATATTCTGTAAAGCGCTTTGAGACGTCTCGAAGACGTGATAAGGCACTATTTCAAATGCAAGGATTATTATTATTATGCCCAGTGCCGCTGTAATTTCAGCCACTTGCCCTCTGGAGCTTCTCTCGGACTTTTTCTCGTTCCTTCTCTCTAATTTCAAAACCTGTGCGAGAACCGATCTCTTTAACTGCTCCTTTGACCAGCTTATCAGCATGACCTACCCATCAGATCAAAGCCTGAAACGTGCAAATTGTTTTGTTACAGCTGATCATCTCCATGCTACAAAAGATTCTGAATTGAATACGCAGTTCGCCCTCTAGCGTATATGTACACAACTTGCAGCTGCTTTTTAACTAAATGTGGAGTCCTGTCGCTTCGTGGGTAGAGCACTAGCCTTGTAACGAGAGAACCTGGGTTGGATTCCCAGGCAGGGCGAAACTATGGGCAAGTTTCCTTACTCCACATGCCTCTGTTTACCTAGCAGTAAGTAGGAACCCGGTTGTTAGTCAATTGGTTGATTGCTTTCCAGGGGTAATAATGCCTTAGCTAGAAGTCAATTGCAGGAGCTGTACATTGCAGTGCACACAAGGTGCTTTCTGAGTTTGTAAGCGAATGTTTAACCATGAGTGTCCTGTATTCCCAGGACAATGATATGGAAGATGAAGAGAAGCTGTGGCGGGAGCTGATTATGGAGCGAGTCACCAAGTCTGCAGACGCCTGCTTGACTGCACTCAATGTCATGACATCACCCAACATGTCTAAAGCGGTGTACATCGATGATGTGATAGAGAGGGTCATTCAGTTTACCAAGTTTCATCTTCAGAACACCCTGTACCCACAGTATGACCCTGTGTATAGAGTGGACCCACATTCCGCAGGTCAGCACTTCAACTTAATTGTCTCCATCTCCTTATTTCCATGCTAGCCAAAGCCCTAACGGTAGGGTGGTCCTAGCTGGACAACCTAAAGCCCTAATGGGCAGGTGGTGTTAGCTGGACAACCTAAAGCCCTCATGGGCAGGTGGTCCTAGCTGGACAAGCTAAAGCCCTAACAGGCAGGTGGTGCTAGATGGACAAGCTAAAGCCCTAACAGGCAGGTGGTGCTAGATGGATAAGCAGCGGAAAGCTGGCCAGACAGTGCTCTCAAAGGCAAGCTGTGTGGTTTAGCTGGTTAGACTCCAGCAGTTACCCCAACACACACTCTGGAGTCCCCAAACCTTGGCTCTTGCCAACCTGTGCCTAATACTCTCTGGAATTAGTTAAGAGGATGTGTCCCTCCAGGGAGAGAGAGCGTATTGCATTCCAACAATCTGTCTCTGGAATTTCCATGTCTGGATGGGATATATGGAAATCTCAATTTGGTTTGGATAATCTTAAATACCGTGATGGGTTTCCGCATGTGACGCCCAGCTGACCCCTCACCCCCTAAAAAGGGGGTGCTACAGTGAGCAGCTCTGCTGCTGGTACAGATTGTCTGGTTGATATTGCCAGGACACGATTCTAACATGAGACCACATAACGGTGGAGGATGGTGTAGAGATGGTGACTTGTCACATGATTGATAACTGGCCTTTGCTTTTGCCTCACAGCAACTTCTAAACATCACGAGGAAAACCGCTTTCATTCCAGTAAGTAAATGTCACCTCAGAAAATGGTCATTCACAAATCCCGTGGCAGGGAGGTAGGGGGCTGGGGAGCGGGTGCGGCGGGGAGATGGGGAAGGGAGCAGGGGGGTGGGTGTGCTGCGGGGGAGAGGGGGGTGGGCTGCGGGGGAGCGATGGGGGGTGGACTGCGGAGGATGAGCTGCGGGGTTTGGGCTGCGGGGTAGTGGGGTGGGCTGTGGGGGAGCGGTGGGTGGTGGGCTATGGGGGAGCGGTGAGGGGTGGGCTGTGGGGGGTGGGCTACGGGGGAGCGGTGAGGGGTGAGCTGTGGGGAAGGTGGGGGTGGGCTGCAGGGGAGCAGAGGGGTGGGTGGACTGCGGGGGTTGGGCTGCTGGCAGATATGGAGTGGGGGAGGGGGCGACGGGAGCCGGTGAAGCGACCTTGTGAAGCCTAGCAGGAGTATAGTGGTGTGTGTGTCGGTGTTGGGATCCTGCTTGCTCTCTTGCCTCTGTTGCTCAGTGGGTGATGTTGCTGGTAAATGTAATGTATGTTGTGATGTTTACTCCTTTCAGAAGGTGGCAGTTCAAAAGCCAAGCGAGCAAAGTACTCCAGCCACAAACAGCGCGTCATTGTCATGTTGTACAACCGAGTGTGTGATATCGTCTCCAACATCTCAGAGCTGCTGGAGATACAACTACTGACAGACACTACCATCCTACAGGTACCTCCACCCCCACACCCACCCTCCACAGCCCCACTCACACCTTCCACACCCTCTCCACCCACACCCTCTCCACCCACACTCTCCACATCCACACCCTCTCCACCCTCACTCTCTACACCCCCAACCTCACCCTTCTCCTCCACATCCCACCCTCCTCCACACCCTCCTCACCCTCCACACCCTCACCTTCCATACCCCCACTATTACCCTCTACTCCCCAACCTTCACCCTCCACACCCTCATCTGTCCTTCACACTCCCCACCATCACTTGTCCTTTCTCTGCCTGATTGTGTGTAAGACATGCTTCCAAACAGTTCTTCACGGTTTGGGCAGAGGAGGGATTTCTTTCTGTCCGTTTTGAGAAATCCAGGACTAATCCTATAATAATCCCTTCAAAAAAATGAATAATTGGGTCACTCAATCCACAACTGTTTGTGGGACACTCACTGCTGTGCTCAATTGGCTGCCATGTTTTGCCTACAAAATACGCAAGTCACTACACTTTACAGACGGCTTGAAGATGTGATGAGGCGCTATATCGAATGCAAAGATTATTATTATTCTTAAGCTGTGAGGTAGATTTCTAGTCAGTTGGGAAAGCAAGAGGGAGGGTGGGCTCTGGCCAGTAGTGATCTGTTGCACAGCATCCTAACCTTCATGGCAGACGTATGTTTGCCAAAGTGCCTCATATGAAGACCTGTATAAGTAATCTCTGTACGTGGCATTGGGCTTGCACTTTGAACACTTGTTGAGCTGTGTTGCCAACAGGAAGCTCACAGGGAGTTCCTGGTACCTTCAGCCACCCAGTGAGAGCTCAAACCCATGCGTGTTGGATGTCAACCAGTTCTATCCAACAATCCCCAGATACAATTAGTCGTTCATTCCTGTCTGAGACGTTGCTGTGCTCTAACTGGCTGTCAGTTGCCTACAAAGATATACTGTATTATAACTCCTTACTCGCGAGGAAGTCTCAAAGCCCTTTACAGGATATACTACACAACATATATTGGATTTATATAGCGCCCTCCACGCTGGACGGCATATCAGAGCGCTTCACAGTAACGGATCCCGGGGGAGGGGAAGAAGGTGACCAAAGGCGCGGTCGAAAAGAAAGCTCTTCAGCCGAGACCTGAAAGTAGGAAGAGAGGGGGTGAAGTGAGTGAGGAAGGGAGTTCCAGAGCCTCGGGGCGTAGTGGCTGAAGGCACGGCCGCCGAGGGTGGAGCGGAGGAGGAGGGGGACGAGGAGGAGGGCAGACCTGGAGGAACCAAGGCAACGGGTATTGTTTTGAGGAGAGAGGAGGTCAGAGAGGTTGGGGGGGGGGGGGGGGGGCAGAGGAGTGGAGGGATTTGAAGACAAGGGTGAGGATCTTGAAATCGATCCTCTCTGGGATAGGCAGCCAGTGCAGTCCGGCCAGGACTGGGGGAGATCGGGGAGTGGGGTTTGGGGGTGGAGGGGAGGGCCAGGACTGGGGGGAGTGGGGTTTGGGGCGGGTGAGAATGCGGGCGGCAGAGTTCTGGATGACCTGGTTTTTATGGATGGCAGTGGAGGGTGAGACCGGTGAGGAGGGCGTTAGAGTAGTGCAGCCGAGAAGTGACAAAGGCCTGGACCAGGGATTCAGCAGCTTTTGGAGGAAGGTATTGGCGGAGACGGGCGATGCGTTGGAGGTGGAAAAAAGCGGTGCTGGTGAGGGACCGGATGTGGGGGAGGAAGGATATTTGGGGGTCGAACCTGACGCCTGGGTTGCGTACGGGTTCGGAGAGTTTTAGGGGGAGGTCGGGTCGGTGGAGGAGGTGAGAACCGTGAGATTTTAGACGTTGATGAGAGCCGAAGAGTATGGCTTCCGTCTTGTCAATGTTCAGCTGAAGGAAGTTTGTGCTCATCCAACCCCTGAGATCTGACAGGAGAACATCAGGGGACTGGGGGGNCGCAAAGAGAGGTGGAAAAGTAGAGTTGGGTGTCGTCTGCGTACGTGTGGAAACGTACCCCATGTCTGCGGATGACATCCCCAAGAGGGAGTGGGAGGAGAAGTGTGTGCGAAGTTGATTGGCAACAACGCGTTCTAGAACTCTGACAAGGATGGGCAGGTTAGAAATAGGGCGGTAGTGGCTGGGGTTTGAGGGATCTAGGGAGGGTTTTTTCAAGAGGGGAGCTGATGACAGCAGGTTTGAGGAAAGGACTGATCCAGAGGAGAGGGACTAGTTGATGTTGTCAGCCAGTAGTGGGTAGAGGCGGGGGAGCTGTGTGACCAGCAAGTTGGTGGTGAGGGGGTCGAGACAGCAGGTGGTGGGTTTCATTGAGGTGATGGTGGGTGAGAGGGAGGAGGGAGATGGGGAGGAAGGAATGTAGGATGGGGGTCATGGTAGGAGCTGATGATGGGGAGGGTGAGGGGACGGAGAGGGGGTGGTGGTGGTTGACGAGGCAGGAGGATGAGGCTGCCTGACGGATATTACTTTAGTTGAAAAGAAGTCCATGACCTCCTCGCACTTGGCATTTGATGTGAAGATTGAGGAGACCTGAGGGGCATTCTATAAACTCATCCTCTAATTTACCTTTGCCAATTTGGTTTTCCCAGTCTATATGAAGATTGAAATCACTCACCATTAGTGTATTTCCTTTGCTACATGCTCCTCTAATTATCCTGCCCAATACTGTAACTGCTGTTAGGGGGTCTATAAACTACTCTCACTCGTGTTTTCTGGCCCTTGTTTCTTACATCTTGATTTTCTGATTTAAAATCCCTTCACTCTTCTGTTTTTATCTCATCCTTTATTAGCATGTGAATCCTTTTAATAGGAGTGAATCCTATTTGGGATATTGTTGGCCAGGGACACCTGGAGCAAGAAACTCCCTTCCCTTTTCAAATAGTGCCGTGAGATCTTTAACCTGAATAGGCAGACGGGACTGTGTTTTAATGTTGCATCAATGCAGTACGCCTCCAACTGAGATAGACTCTGAGTTTAAAGACCCTGACATAGGTCTCTGGCCTGGTCTCTTGTCCGCTTCCTCAGCCACGCAGGCCTGCAGTACTTCAGGGGACTACTGATGATGGCACAGCCCAGCCTAGCTCATCGGCAGAACCTAGAAGGACAGACTAGACACTGGGGGCAGGGAATCTTCCCACTCAGATCCTGGTAACCCTGCAGCCAGAGAACAGGTGAAGGGCTGTTACATTTGCTGCGTGACTTCATAAGTGGGCCTTTTACCTCATTTCACTACTCAAGTCCATGTGGTTTAGGGGGAGATGGTGTGTGCAGGTATCTGAGTGGCTGTTGCTGTTTGTCATGTGTGTATAGGCAGTAAGTGTGGAGTCCTATAATCTTAGTGGTTAAAGGACTCGCCTCACAAGCAAGAGGACCTGGGTTTGTTCGATTCCCAGCTGGGCTAAACGTTAGGCAAGTTTATGAACTCCACACGCCTCTGTTTACCAGCAGTAAATAGGAATCCTCTTGTTTGTCGCCTTTTCCGGGTTAATAATCCCTTCAAAAAAATAAATAAATAATAATAATAATTGGGTCACTCAATCCATGAATGTTTGTGAGGGACTACTATGCGCATTTGGCTGCTGGGTTTCACCCACAAAATATACAGTCACTTTACAGTATATTCTGTGAAATGCTTTAAGACAGCTTGAAGACATGATAAGGCACTACATGAAATGCAAGTTATTATTATTATCTTTTGTCTGCTAGGTTTCCTCCATGGGAATCACACCGTTCTTTGTAGAAAACGTCAGCGAACTGCAGCTGTGCGCCATCAAGCTGGTTACAGCTGTAAGTATCTCCTAACTCTGTGAGTGTGGCTGTGTGGATGTAGGAATCCTGTGAGTGTGACTGTGTGGGTGTGGGAATCCTGTGAGTGTGGCTGTGTGGGTGTGGGAATCCTGTGAGTGTGGTTGTGTATGTCCTCCCAACGTGAAAGGCACTATGCAAATTTAATTTTGTTGTGTGTGGTTACAGCTGTAAGTACCTCCTAACCCTGTGAGTGTGGCAGTGTACATAGGAATCCTACCAGATACAGTGTGTAATAATCTGACATTGTGTGGACTTTTGGCTCAGACTTCAGCTTTGAGTCTGATTCACACTTATGTATTTTCAACTCCCCAGAACTCTCAAGAAGAGGGCTTCTGGCTGTTTGGACTGAGTATGTAAAATTATGATCAAAATTATGAGGGGTTTTGATAGTGTAGATAGGGGGAAACTGTTTCCTCTGGCAGGTGGGTCAGTAACTAGAGGACACAGATTTAAGACAATTGGCAAAATAACCAAAGGGGAAACAGGGAATAAGGGGTGTGGAGGAATGATTTTACCCAGAGAGTTGTTATGGTTTTGAATGCACTGCCTGAAAGGCTAGTGGAAGCAGATTCGATAATCGCTTTCAAAAGAGAATTGGATAGGTACTTAAAAAGGAAAAATGTGCAGAGCCTTGGGGTAAGAGTGGGACGAGTTGGTAGCTCTTCCAAACAGCTGGCACAGGCATGATGGGCCAATGGACTCCTTCTGTGCTGTATGATTCTATGATCCAGCTGCAAACACCAAAAGTTCTAGAGCAGAGAGCCCAGCAGTGTGAGGAGGGAACTGAGTGAGGTGGAACGTAATGAGAATTCTGTTAAGGAATTTGGTGAGAGTGGGAATTAAGGTGTGATAGTCAGGCTGCATGTGGGCATATGTGTAAGTGTCCGTAACTTTCACGTCGGGAGGGTGTTCCAAGGCCCTAGACAGTCAGTGTTTCCGGACCTGAGGTGGGGATCGGGATCAAGGAGGGTGGAGGGCGGTGGGGGAAGCAGGCAGATCGAAAGCACATCGACGAGGAGGGTCTTGAGATGGGTCTTGAAGGTGGCAAGGGAGGAGGCGAGGTGGAGGGACTGCTGGATGAAGTTCCAGAGGGTAGTGACAGAGTGGCAGAAGGCCAACCCACCAACGTTGGGGCGAGCGAGGTGGGGGACGTGAAGCAGGCCGGAGCACACTGAGCGAAGTGAGCGAGCAGGATGGTAGGGGGTTAGGAGGTCGCAGAGGTTGGGGGGAGCGAGGCCATGGAGGGCTTTAAAGGTGAGGACCAGGATCTTGAACTGTATCCTCTGTGTGATGGGAAGCCAGTGGGGTCAGGGGAGGATGGGGGAGATATGGTCACGGAGGCTGGTGGGGGTGAGGATGGGGGAGATATGGTCATGAAGCCTTGGGGGTGAGGATGGGGGTGATGGGATCGGGGAGCCTGGTGGGGGTGAGGATGCGGGTGATGGGGTCACGGAGCCTGGTGGGGGTGAGGATGGGGGTGATGGGGTCGGGGAGCCTGGTGGGGGTGAGGATGGGGTGATGGGGTCGGGGAGCCGGTGGGGGTGAGGATGGGGGTGATGGGGTTGGGGAGCCTGGTGGGGGTGAGGATGGGGGTGATGGGGTCGGGGAGCCTGGTGGGGGTGAGGATGGGGGTGATGGGGTCGGGGAGCCTGGTGGGGGTGAGGATGGGGGTGATGGGGTGGGGGAGAGGACATGGGCTGCAGAGTTAGTTCGGGATGATCTGCAGTCTGTGGAGGGAGGGGTTGGGGGCCAACAAACAGGGAGTTTGCATAGTGGAGTCTGGCTGTAATGGAGGGGTGTGTGAGGGTCTCGGGGGCTGTGGTGTGAGACAGTGGGGGAACCGGGCGATGTTGCGGAGGTGGGGGAGGCAGAGCGGGTCATGGGGCAGATGTGGGGTAGGAAGGATAGTGGAAGGTCAAACAAGACATAAGAGGGGCAAAGAGATTGTATGAGAAAGGATTAGCGGGTAACAAAGAACGGAACTCTAAGGTAATTTATAAGTATATAAAGACTGAAAGATTAGTCAAAGGAAATTTTTCACTTAAAAAAATTTGGGTTAATAAAGGACAGTCAATGTGGATTTGTTAAAGGCAAATCATGGTGAACAAACCTGATAGTTTTTTAATGCAGTAACGGAGAGGGCGGATGAAGGGAGTGCAGGTGATGTAGTTTATATGGATTGTCCATATGACAAAGTGCCACATAAGAGACTTGTAAACAGAATCGAAGCCCCGGTATTAAAGGGACAGTGGCAGCGGATACAGAACTGGGAGACAGAGAGCAGAGAGTGTGGGGAACGGTTGTTTCTCTGACTGGAGGGAAGTGTGCAGTGGTGTCCCCCGGGGGCCAGTATTGGGGCCACTGCTGTTTGTGATCTATATAAATGACCTGGGCTTGGGGAGAGGGAGGACAATTCCCACGTTTGCAGATGATACTGAGCTGGGAAAGTAGTAACCAGTGAGGAGGACAGTCGCAGCCTGTAAATGGCCATAGACAGACTGGTAACATGGGCCGACACGGGGCAGATGACGTTTAATGTGGCTTAACGTCCAGATTGCTGATTAGTTTTATCTTGTTCTGCGTAATGAAATCGGGTTAATCAGCATTCTGGAAGTTAAGGCTCCTCTCGGGCAGAGTGACCATAACATGAATGAATTTAACCTTAAGTTAGAGAGTGATGTAGTTGAATCCGAAGCAAGGATCTTAAATCTAAATAAAGCCAACTTTGCAGTTATGAGAGAGGATTTGGCTAAAATAGACTGGGAAATTAGATAAAAAATAACAGTAGACCAGCAATGCCAAACGTTTAATGTTAGTGAGGAACTTAAAGAAATGAACATCAGTAAAGCAATAGTACTAGAGAAATTTATAGGATTAAAAATCGATCCATCCCCGGGTGTATAAAAAGGTGGCGGCTGAGATAGTGGGTGCTTTGTTTTTGGATGATACGCAGATGGGTGGGAGAGTAACTGTGAGGACGACACACGAAGAATGCAAAGGGAAATAGACAGACGAGGGGAGTGGGCAGATGGAGTATAATGTGGGGAAATGTGAAGTTATTCACCGAGGTAGTAAAACAGAAAAGCCCATTATTTTCTAGAGGGGGAGACGAGATAGTGTTCAGAGGGATTTGGGATCCTTGTACACCAGTCCCAAAAGGTTATTCTGTAGGTACAGCAGTTAGAGTGCAGAGTAGGGAAGTCGTGTAAGGCCTTGGGGAGACCGCACATGGAGTATGGTGTGCAGTTTTGGTCTCCTTATTTAAGAAAGGACATTCTCGCCTTAGAGGGGGTGCAGCGTAGATTCACTCGGTCGGTTCCTGGGATGAGGGGGTTGACCTGTGAGGAGAGGTTGAGTAAACAAGGCCTATATTCTCCAGAATATAGAAGAATTCGAGGTGATCTTATCGAAACCTATAAGATTTGTAAGGGTCGTGACAGGGGAGATGCCGTGAGACTGTTTCCCCGGTTGGAGAATCTATAACTAGGGGGTCATAGTCTCAAGATTAAGGGTCAGCCTTTTTGAACTGAGTTGAGGAAACATTTCTTCACTCAGAGGCCAGTGAGTTTGTGGAATACTCTACCCCAGAGGCTGTGGATACTCAGTCAGTCCTTGAACATATTCTCGACTGAGGTTGATAGGTTTCTAAAGGATCGAGGGATTAAGGGATATGGGATAGGTTGAACCGGAAAAACTGTTTCCATGTGGGTCAGTAATTCGAGGACACTGATTTAAGTTAGTTCATAGAATCATAGAATCGTACAGCTTTATAAATAGGGCATAGAATACACAAGTCAGGAAGTCACGATGAACCTTTATATAAAACACTGGTGGGGCCTCAGCGAGAGACTGGGCTCAGTTCTGGGCCCCACACTTTAGGAAGGATGTCAAGGCATTGGAGAGGGAGCGAAGGAGATTGACCAGAATGGTACCAGGAATGAGGGCCTTCAGTGATCAGGAGAGGCAGAGAAGTGAGGATTATTCTCCGGGGAACAGAGAAGGTTAAGAGGAAACTTAATAGAAGTTTTCAAAATGATGAGGGGATTCGATAGAGTGAACAGGAGAGACTATTCCCACTGGCGGTGGGTCGGGAACCCGAGGGCACCGGTTTAAAATGGTTGTTAAAAGAAACAGAAGGGAGGTGAGGAGAAATGTTTTCACAGAGAGAGTTGTTCGCCCTTCTCCTCCTCCAACCCCACGTCCTCCAGCTCCTCCAGTTTCACTCTCTAGGCACCCCGCCTCGTCCAGCCCCGCCCCCTCATCCAGCCCCCCCCCCCCCCTCTCCCTCGTCCAGGCCCACACTCCTCCAGCCCCCTCTCCTCCAGTGCCTCCACCTCCTCCAGCGCCACCACCTCCAGCCCCCCCCTCCTCCTCCAGTAATAAGGCTGTGGATTATGGCTGGATCCATTCACATTGTCCAGACTGAGGTGGATAGATGTTTGTTTGGTCAGAGTATCAAGGGATGTGGGACAAGGAATCTTATTGAATGACAGAACAGGCTTGAGGGGCTGAGTGGCCTCCTGTTTCTATGTTCTTATGCATAATTCACGACTACCCTAAGCCTCTTTTTTGGAATATCCACAGGTCTTTTCCAGATATGAGAAGCACAGACAGCTGATTTTAGAAGAGATGTTTGCCTCGCTTGCAAAGCTCCCGACAAGCAAGAGGAGTTTGAGAAACTTCAGGTGATGAACTGAGCATTGTAACTGCAATGACGTGTTCAGTGGTGGAGCACTGGTTACACTTTATTCCAATGTACAACAGAACCAGTTATCGCACTAAATGGGACCTGCTCTTTTTTCTTTCTCTACTCCCCACCGCCCCCAATACTCACTCACTCTGGCTCTCTGGCTTATACCGCAACAAATCTGGCTCACCCATCTCCAAAACTCCACCCTCTCCCTCCAAAGAAAAACCCTTGTTCTTTTCCTCATCTGCATGTTCCTTCTTCATACATCCTCAGGGTTAACGCCATATGAATTGGCTGCTGTGTTTCACCCACAAAATATACAATCAATTCACTTTACAGTGAGACGTTTGGAAGACGTGATAAAGTGCTGTATCAAATGCAGTGTTTCTCTGCCTCATTTCCCAGTACTTGTTCTTGTGTAACAGGTTAAACAGCAGTGACATGGATGGCGAGCCCCTCTTCATTCAGATGGTGACTGCCTTGGTGTTGCAGCTGATTCAATGCGTGGTGCATCTGCCGGTGACTGAGAAGGACAGCACTCTCGATGAGGATGGCGAGAAGAAGGTAAGAGATAGCTGACTACACAGACACCAAGCCAGCCAAGCCGAGCGAAGCTGTGCTGTTCGTGGCTAGACTGATGATTGTACAGAATGGAATTGTGTAGCTTAGTGGTTAGAGCACTCGCCTCGCAAGCAAGAGACCTGGGTTCGATTCCCAGGCAGGGAGAAACATTTGGCAAGTTTCCTTACTCCACATGCCTCTGTTTATCCAGCAGTAAGTAGGAACCCATTTGTTAGTTGATTTCTGGGGTTAATAATTCCTTTTTTAAAAAATAATAAAAATTTGGTCACTCAATCCACGACTGTTTGTGGGATACTGCTGTGCGCAATTGGCTGCTGTGTTTCAACCACAAAATACACAGTGAATTCAGTTTACAGTATATTCTGTGAGGCACTTTGAGACGTCTCGAAGATGTGATAAGGCGCCATATCAAATGTAAGGATTATTATATTCTTATTAAATAATTATTATTGTTAAAGACCAATCCTGGATTTGGGAAGTGGTAAAATGTTGGGTTAATTTGACTGAATGCAGAGTCCATATGAGCAGCATTAGCCCAACTCCAGCCCTCATGATCTTTCCGTGACCACAGCTGTTACGTGTGCATTATTCCTGAGAACATTTACAATACAAAATGACATTTACACGGCACCTTTCACGTTGGGAGGATGTCCAAGGCGCTCGATAGTCAGGGATTTGGACCCGAGTTGGGGGTCGGGATCAGGGAGGGTGGAGGGCAGGGAGGGTAAAAGGTTGGTGAAGACATGGTCGAAGAGTCTTAAGATGTGCCTTGAAGGAGGCCAGGAAGGGAGTGAGGCGAAGGGACTGAGTTCCAGAGGGTGGGGGCAGAGAGGGTAAATGCCTGACCGCCGATAGTGTGCCACACTGGGGTCGTGGTGCAGGCCAGAACCTGCTAAACGGAGGGAGCGGACAGGCTGGTATCACAGAGGTAGGAGGGGGCAAGGCTGTGGAGAGCCTGGAAGATGAGGCCACGGATTTTGAACTGTATCCTCTGGGGGATGGTGAGCCAGTGGAGCCGAGTGAGGGTGGGGGTGATGGGGGTCACGGAGCCTGGTGCGGGAGAGGACACGAACTGCAGAGTTCGAGATGATCTGCAGTTTGTGGAGGAAAGAATTGGGAAGGCCGACAAGCATTTACCAAAATAATGTGGAGCCTGGGATATGTGAATTAAGGTGCAATTCGCTGCAAAGTGAGTCGCTATCTCTTTTATAAAACTGTCCATCACTGTTGTTGATATTAACCCTGAGGACCAGCTCTAGCTGTGGCTTGACTCCAGGACCCACTGCTGTCCTGACAGAATGTCTGTCAGACGTCAAGTCCTGGATGAGGGCAAACTTTTAACGTCAACAAGACCGAGGCTCCTGATTGGCTCCCGTCAGCGCCTCCACACCTCAGGCCCTGACAGCATCACCATCCCTGGGGCTCACTCCCCCTCACTGCGCCAGTCCCAAACCTTGGGGTCTGGTTTGACCCTCAACTATCCTTTCTACCCCCCATCTGCGCCATGACCTGCTCTGCCTCCCCCACCCCCGCAACATGGACCGACTCTCCCACTGTCACACCGCAGCCCCCGAGACCCTCACACACCCCTCCATTACATCAATTCTGTGACCCTATCACCCCCATCCTTGCCCAACTCCACTGACTTCCCATCACACAGAGGATACAGTTCAAGATCCTGGTCCTCACCTCAAAGCCCTTCATGGTCTTGTTCCCCCAACCTCTCAGACCCCCTAATCACATACCACCCTGTTTGCTCCCTCCGTTCAGCGGGCTCTGGCCTGCTTCACGTTCCCCGCCTCGCTCACCCCATTATCGGCGGCCAGGCCTTCAGTCACTCTGCCCCCGCCCTCTGGAACTCCATCCCACAGTCCCTCCACCTTACCCCCTCCCTCACTACCTTCAAGACCCACCTCAAGATCCTCCTCTTCGATTGTGCTTTTGATCTGCCTGCTTCCCCACTACCCTCCACCTTTCCCCACCCTGGCCCCAGCTCGGTTTTATAACTCTGTCCAGCGCCTTGGGACGTCCTCCTGATGTGAAAGGCGCTATACACATGTAATTTTGTTGTTGTTGTGTATAACTCGATCCACTGAAACATTACCTTCATCTGTCATTTGTCTTGTTTGCAGGTGGATCAGGATGTTCTCATTACCAACTCGTATGAAACGGCAATGCGAACCGCACAGAACTTCCTGTCAGTGTTTCTCAAAAAGTGAGTGAAAAGCTCCAAATAGTTGTCATTATACATACACACACACAGGCAGCCTGGCCATCACACCAACACACACACAGGCAGCCTGGCCATCACACCAAACACACAGCCTGGCCATCACACCAACACACACACAGGCAGCCTGGCCATCACACCAACACACAACACCACAGCAGCCACACACCACACACACAGGCAGCCTGGCCATCACACCAACACACACACACACACAGGCAGCCTGGCCATCACACCAACACACACACAGGCAGCCTGGCCATCACACCAACACACCACACACACAGGCAGCCTGGCCATCACACCAACACACACACACACACACAGGCAGCCTGGCCATCACACCAACACACACACAGGCAGCCTGGCCATCACACCAACACACACACAGGCAGCCTGGCCATCACACCAACACACACCACACACACCCCACACACCACCCACCCCCCCCACCCTGGCTATCACACCAACACACACACACACACACACACACACCACACACACACACACACACACAGGCCGCCTGGCCATCACACCAACACACACACACGCACACACACAGCCTGGCCATCACACCAACACTCACACACACACACAGCCTGGCCATCACACCAACACTCACACACACACACGCAGGCAGCCTGGCCATCCATCACACCAACACTCACATTTACACACAGCCTGACCATCAAACACATATTCATAGAATCAGAGAATTATACAGCACAGAAGGAGGCCATTCGGCCCATTGTGTCTGTGTCGGCTCTTTTAAAAGAGCTTCCAATTCAATCACACTCTCCGCGCTCTCCCCATATTCCTGCAAACGTGTCCTCCCCAAATAATTATTTACTGGTAAATCTCATTCTTCCTAAAGTGTGGGGCCCAGAACTGAGCCCAGTCTCTCGCTGAGGCCCCACCAGTGTTTCATATAAAGGTTCATCGTGACTTCCTGACTTGTGTATTCTATGCCCTATTTATAAAGCCTCGTGTCCGGATGCTTTATTAACAGCTGTATCTACCTGTCCGGCCACCTTCAGAGATTTACTATATGACCCCCAGGTCTCTCTGTCCCTTCACCCCCTTTAAGATTTTACCATCAGCTTATATTGCCTCTCGTTTTTGTAATAAAAATAATAATCCTGGCATTTGATATAGCGCTTTTCATGTCTTCTCGACGTCTCAAAGTGCTTTACAGAATAGACTGTAAAGTGAATTGACTGTATATTTGTGGGTTTTTCCTCCCAAACTCCATCACTTTGCATTTCTCCACATTAAACGCCATCTGCCCCGTGTCGGCCCACGTTACCAGTCTGTCTATGGCCATTTACAGGCTGCGACTGTCCTCCTCACTGGTTACTACTTTCCCAGCTCAGTATCATCTGCAAACTTGGAAATTGTCCTCCCTCTCCCCAAGCCCAGGTCATTTATATAGATCACAAACAGCAGTGGCCCCAATACTGGCCCCCGGGGGACACCACTGCACACTTCCCTCCAGTCAGAGAAACAACCGTTCCCCACACTCTCTGCTCTCTGTCTCCCAGTTCTGTATCCGCTGCCACTGTCCCTTTAATACCGGGGCTTCGATTCTGTTTACAAGTCTCTTATGTGGCACTTTGTCATATGGACAATCCATATAAACTACATCACCTGCACTCCCTTCATCCGCCCTCTCCGTTACTGCATTAAAAAACTCTATCAGGTTTGTTCACCATGATTTGCCTTTAACAAATCCACATTGACTGTCCTTTATTAACCCAAATTTTTCTAAGTGAAAATTTATTTTGTCCCGGATTATAGTCTCTAGAAGTTTCCCCATGACTGACGTTAGGCACTGGCCGGTAGTTCCCGGGTTTATCCTTCTGTCACTTTTTGTACGGGGAGTAACATTTGCAACCCTCCAGTCCTCTGACCACCCCGGTGTCCAAGGAGGATTGAAAGATTGTGGCCAGAGCCTCCGTTATTTCCGCCCTGACTTCCCTCAGTAACCTAGGATGCCTCCCGTCCAGACCAGGTGACTTATCTCCTTGAGCACCGACAGCCTTTTTAGTCCCTCCTCTCGGTTTATTCTTATCTTATCCAATTTCTCTCCCATCTCCTCCGATACTGTGGCATTGGCTGCATTCTCTCCTTTTGTGAAGACAGATGCAAAGTCCTCATTCAGTTCGTCAGCCGTACCCTCTGCCTCTACAAGAAGGTTTCCTCTTTGGTCCCTAATTAGACCCACCCTTCCTTTGACTAACCTTTTATTCTTTATATGCTTATACATTACCTTAGGGTTCCCTTTTATGTTACCCGCTCATCTTTTCTCATACAGTCTCTTTACTCCTCATTTCCTTTCTCAGTTCTCCTCTGTACTTTCTATATTCTATTTGATTATCTTCTATATTTTGAACCTGATCATCAATCTTTTTCTGTTTTATTTTAATCCCAATTTCCTTATTCACCCAGGGAGGTTTGGATGCCCTCCTTTCCCCTTTGTGGGAATGTATTTGTTAGCTGTTTTACCTGCTAATCTTTCTTTCCAGTCCACCTTGGCCAGGTCTCTGTTTAACTCACTGAAATTAGCCTCTTCCAGTTGAGTATTTCACCTTTGATTGCTCACCTTTCCATAAGTACTCTAAACCTAATGATGTTGTCTCACTGTTGTCCAGATGCTCTCCTACTGAAACCTGCTCCACTTGCCCCACTTCATACCCCAGAACTAGATCCAGCACTGCTTCCTTCCTCGTTGGGCTGGAAACGTACTTATCCAGAATGTTCTCCTGTGCACATTTCAGGAATCCTCCCCCTCCTTGCCCTTTACACTGTTATGTTGCCAGTCTATGTTAGGATAATTGAAGTCCCCCATTAGCATTACTCTATTGGTTTGACATCTTTCTGAAATCTGCTGCAGATTTGCTCGTCTCTCTCCTTCCCATTAACTGGTGGTCTATAGTTTACACCTAACAGAGTAACAGCTCCTTTTCTGCTCCTAAACTCTAACCAAATAGATTCTGTTTATGGACCCTCGAGCACATCGTCCTTTTCCAGGGCCGTAACCGTGTCTATAATCAATATTGCCACCCCCGATCCCTCCCGAGTACATTGTAGCCAGGAATATTCAGCTCCCATTCCTGCCCTTGTTTGAGCCAAGTCTCCGTTATTGCCACTACATTATAACCCCATGTGGCAACTTGAGCCGCAGATCACCAATATTATTTGTCACACTCCGTGCATTTACACACATGCACTCCAAGACCCACTGAGCCTGCTCTGCATTTCTCCCCCGTCTAATCCCTCCCTTTTCGGGATTACTCCTGATTGCATTGCTATTCGTCTCTCCCAGCCCTCTGTATAACTTGGTTGTCCTCTCTGATGCTACATCCTGATTCCCTTCCCATCTCGAAATTGGTTTCAACCACAAATATACGATCAATTCACTTTACAGCATATTCACGTCTAGAAGACCTGTTCAGGTGTAACTCATCACCTTGTACAGGTCCCATCTGCCCCAGAACTGGTCCCAATGATCCAGGAACCTGAACCCCTCCTTTCTGCACCATTTCTCCAGCCATGTGTTCATGTGTTTGATCTGCTGCACGAGGCACTGGGAGTAATCCTGGAGTCCTGTAGCTCAGTGGTTAGAGCACTCGCTTTGCAAGTGAGAGACCTGAGTTCAATCCCCGGGGGGTCAGGGCCAAACCTTGGGCAAGTTTCCTTACTCCACACACAGCCTAATAATAATCCCTCCAAAAAAACAAAAACAATAATAAATTGGTCATTTTCAATCTACGACTGTTTGTGGGACATTGCTGTGTGCAATTGGCTGCCGCGTTCGCCCACAAATATACAGTCATTCACTTTACAGTGAGTTCTGTGAAACGCTTTGGGACGTCCTCCTGACGTGAAAAGCGTTATATCAAATCCAAGGATTATTATTATTAACGCAGAGATCACCATCTTTTAGGTCCTAATCTTTGGTTATTCCCGAACTTCTGGATCCTGTAGGATCTCAGCCTGTTTTTCCCTACGTCATGGATCCCAACATGGACCCCAACTTCTGGCTGTTTCCCTTTCCCCTGTAGAATGTTTGGCCCCGTTCTGTGATGTCTTCAACCCTGACACCAGGGAGGCCACAGTCCGTGTGAGAGTCACGGCTTTGGCTGCAGAAACGCCTGTCTACTCCCTTCACCATTGTGTCCCCAATGATAATTGCAATGATATTCTTCCCTGTGTTCCTCTGGGCATCAATTAGCTTTTGACTCTGCTCCCCAGAGGTGCCATCACCCTGACTGGTATTCAGTACTGAAGACTGGTTTGTGAGTGCCACACTCTCAGGGGGTTTCTGCACTGCCGTCCCCTCTTCCTACCAGGCCGGTGGTCACCCACTCACTCTCCTTCTGAACCCTCTGTGGCTGTGTGGTGACCACCTCCTGAAACGTTTGATCAGGAACTCTCCAGCCTCCCGTATGCCATGTAGTGACTCCAGCGTCTCCTCGAGCTCGGAAACCCTGAGCTCCAGCAGCCGGAGGCACTTCCTACACACGTGTCTGTCCAGAGCTCACAAAGCCTCCTGGAGCTCCCACATGGCACACATTGTGCATGAAAACAGTCTCAGCTGCCCTGCCATATTCCCAGACATGTTTTATATTAGTTTAATATAAATATTATATAGTTTATAATTATGCATCTCTTTCCCCTCTGCACCGAACTCCTACTCTCACCAAACTCCTTAACAGAATTCTCACTCTGTTCCACCTCACACTGCTCGGCTCTCTGCTCACTCACACACATACGCACACATAGGCAATCAGATAGACACACACACCCTCACACTCACAGACACAGGCAGCCTGACCATCACACCCACACACACAGACCGGCCATCACAGCCACAGTCTCACACACACACACATACACACACATACAGGCACCCTGACTATCAACAACAACAACAAGATTCCATTTATTGAGCACCTTTCACATCGGGAGGACGTCCCAAGGCGCTGTACAGTTGGGTCAGGACCTGAGCATTGGGGGGAAATGGTCAGGGTGAGGGGAGGGAGGGGTGAGGAGGGGGGAAATGGTCAGGGTGAGGGGAGGGAAGGGAGGGGGTGAGGAGGGGGTAGAGAATCGAGAGCGGAGCTGAAGGCTGAAGGTCAAAGAGAAAGGTCTTGAGACCGCCCTGAAGGAGGAAAGGGAGGAAGCGGCGAAGGCACTGGGGATGGAGTTCCAGAGCCTCGGGGCTGAGAGGCTGAAGGCCACCGATGGTCGGGCGGTTGGGGCGGGGGATGGGGGGCCGACCGGAGCCGGAGGGACGGAGGGTACGGGCAGGTAAGTAGGAGGATAGTAGGTCGGAGAGGGAGGAGGGAGCGAGGCCGGGAATGGCGTTGTAGGTGAGGATGAGGATCTTGAAATCGATCCTCTGGGGGATGGGGAGCCAGTGGAGGCGAGCGAGGGCGAGGGTGGGAGTGAGGGCGAAGGTGGGAGTGATGTGGTCCCGAAGCCTGGTGCGGGACAGTACACGAGCTGCAGAGTTCTGAACACCAACTCACACGCACAGGCAGCTTGGCACACCGACACACACCCTCACACACTCAGGCACACATGCACAGCCTGGTCGTCACAGTCATACACACATAAACACAGGCCATCAGACAGTCACACACTGACACACACACAGGCCATCAGACAGACACGCACACATTCACACGCTCTTCCTCACACACACACACACACACACACAGGCAGCCTGACCGTCACACCCACACACACACAAACAACAACAACTTGGATGTATATAGCGCCCCCCACGCCGGACGGTGCCTCAGAGCGCTTCACAATAATGGATCCCGGGGCGGAGCCGGGGGGGAGGAGCCAGGGGGAGGGGGAGGAGCCAGCGGGAGGGAGCGGAGCCGGGGGGGAGGAGCCAGGGGGAGGGGTGGGGGAGGAAGGTGACCAAAGGTGCGGTCGAAAAGAAAGGTCTTTAGCTGAGACCTGAGAATAGGAAGAGAGGGGGTGATGGGGAGGGGAGGGAGGAAGGCAGTTCCAGAGCCTCGGGGCACAGGGGCTGAAGGCACGGCCGCCGAGGGTGGAGCGGAGGGCTCGGGGGACGAGGAGGAGGCCAGACCCGGGGGAACGAAGGCAACGGGTGCTGTTGTGAGGAGAGAGGAGGTCAGAGAGGTCGGGGTTGGGGGGGGCAGAAGAGTGGAAGGACTTGAATACGAGGTGAGGATCTTGAAGTGGATCCTCTCTGCGATAGGCAGCGAGTGCAGTCTGGCCAGGACTGGGGGGATCGGGGAGTGGGGTTTGGGGGCGGGGGGGAGGGCCAGGACTGGGGGGATTGGGGAGTGGGGTTTGGGTGTGGGAGGGAGGGCCAGGACTGGGGGGATCGGGGAGTGGGGTTTGGGGGTGGGGGGGGGGGAGGGCCAGGACTGGGGGGATTGGGGAGTGGGGGGGGGGGGGAGGGCTAGGACTGGGGGGTTGGGGAGTGGGGTTTGGGGGTGGGGGGAGGGCCAGGACTGGGGGGATCGGGGAGGGGTTTGGGGGTGGGGGGAGGGCCAGGACTGGGGGGATCGGGGAGTGGGTTTGGGGGTGGGGGGAGGGCCAGGACTGGGGGGATCGGGGAGTGGGGTTTGGGGGTGGGGGGGAGGGCCAGGACTGGGGGGATCGGGGAGTGGGGTTTGGTGCGGGTGAGAATGCGGGCGGCAGAGTTCTGGGTGATGTGGGCTGTATGGATGGCAGTGGAGGGGAGGCCGGTGAGGAGGGCGTTAGAGTAGTGCAGCCGAGAGGTGACAAAGGCACATACAGACAGTCTGACCATCTCACACACTCACATACACATCCACACACACACAGGCCATCAGACAGTCACACACACAAACGCACGCACAGGTCACGGATTCACTGACCCCTATCCCCGTGGAACTAACTGAAGGTCATCATTCTAACATTTAAATCCTTCCACAGCATTCCCTCTGTGCCCTCAGCCGTACTGCCTGACTAGTCCCTCGGTCCCCTGCCCGTCTACCCCATCAGTGGGCAAGTGTTCTGCCATGCTATCCCTTCTCTGGACCTCCATCCCTCACCCCTTGTTGCTAGCTTTCAAATCCCTTCTAACCTTCCCCCCTTAATGGCACGCTAGCTCGGGCCTGCCGGTCGGCTGTGTGAAGCACTTGAAGACATTCTCCTAATTAGAGAACTGCTGGATAATGTAATCATTGTGCTGACTCTGGAATGAAGGCGCTTGTGTTGCCTTTAAAGCCCACCACGGCCTTGTTCCCCTCTACCTCTGGAATGTGCTGACCCCATATCAACCTGTCTGCTCAGCAGGCTCCGGCCTGCTCTATGTCCCCCGCCCGGCCTACCATCAGCGGTCAGGCCTTCAGCCTCTCTGCCTCCACCCTTTGGAACTCCATCCCACAGTCCCTTCGCCTCACCGCCTCCTTGAATGCACATCTCAAGATACTCCTCGGGTCAAAATCCTGACTGTCCAGTGCCTTGAAACGTCCTCCTGACATGAACGGTGCTGTGTAAATGTAATGTGTTGGTGATGGTAGTGGCGATGTGTCACAGGTTTCCCATTGTCTCCGGCAGGTGTGGCAGTAAACAAGGAGAGGAGGATTACAGGCCGCTCTTTGAGAACTTTGTTCAGGATCTTCTCTCCACAGTCAACAAGCCCGAGTGGCCGGCCGCGGAGCTGCTGCTCAGCCTGCTGGGGAGGTTATTGGTGAGGCCGCTGCTTACTCTAAACCTTCCTGAGCTGGGGAATGATTAGAGACCTGTAGTGTAGTGGTTAGAGCACTTGCAAGGCAGGGCGAAACGTTGGGCAAGTTTCAAGTTGCGCAAGTTTCCTTACTCCACACGCCTCTGTTTACCAGCAGTAAGTAGGAACCCTGTTGTTAGTCGATTGGCGGATCGCTTTTCCGGGGGTAATAATCCCTTGAAAATAAAAATATATAAATTAGTAGTTTGGCCGCTTCAATCCACGACTGTTTGTGGGACACTCACTGCTGTGTGCAATTGGCTGCCACGTTTCACCCACAAGTATGCAGTCAATTCACTTTACAGTATATTGTGTGAAGTGCTTTGAGACATCTCAAAGACGTGATAAGACTCTATATCAAATGCCAGGATTATTATATTAAATAATTATTGCTCTGCTGTAAATTTCTATCTCTAAACACTTATAATAATAATAATACTTGCGTTTGATATAGTGCTTTTCATATAGATATAGACATCTCAAAACGCTTCACAGAATAGATTGTAAAATGAATTGACAGTATATTTGTGGGCGAAACGCGGCAGCCAATTGCGCACAGCAATGTTCCACTTGTTAGGTAATTGCAATGAAGTGTAATGAGCCAAGCATCCCCTGAGGCTCAGCTCCTCTGCTCTGCTGGCAGTGTGAAAGCATGTTACTATCGGACATTATTTGGCACTTTGTGTTGTGTAAACTAGTGATAAACTTGTCTTAGAGTTTTCCAGAACTCTGCAGCTTGTGTCCTCTCACCTCTCCATGACCCCATCACCCTTGCCCGGCTTCAATGGCTCCCCATCCCTCAGAGGATAGAATTTAAAATCCTTATCATCACTTGAGGCCCTCCACAGCCTTGCCCCCTCCTACCTCTCTGACCTGCTGATCCCTTATCAACCTGTCCTCTCCCTCTGCTCAGCGGGCTCCGACCTGCTCCATGTCTCCTGCTCGACCTGCCCTATCATCGGTGGCCATATAACTCCTATCTTACCTTAACCTGTTAACTTCCCATCCCCCTACGCACTGCCTCTGCTCGAGTGGCTCAGGCCTCCTGCATGTCTCTCGTGCTCTCCGTTCCACCATTGGTGGCCGCGATTTCAGCCACTATGCTCGGGAGCACCCTACCTCTGTCCCTATCTTTCCCATCTTCAGGTCTCACCTGAAGATTTCCTATTCGACCGTGCCTGTGGCCCCCTCCCCCCGGCTCGGCGTCATGCTCCACCACGGTCAAGTGCTTTGGGACGCAACCCTGCGTGAGGGGTGCTGTGTAAATGCAAGTTGTTGTTGACTATGTAAGAACATTGGAACAGGAGTGAACGATTCACCTGCCAACCTCCTCCACCATTTTAATGTTGTTTCCTATCTCTTCACTATATCCATAAATGCCTTGCCTGCCAAATACTTGGGGTCTTCTGTGAGGAGTCCTCCCAAGGTGACATGTTTAGCAACAGAAAGCTGGAATCAAGTCAGTCCTCTGTGGGGGGTCTTGAATACCTGGTTCCTGAGCCATGGGGATCCACAATACTCCAGGGCACTGCGCATATCCTCGGCTAGGGTAATTGACTGTCCAACGCCTTGGGATGTCCTTCCGACATGAAAGGAGCTTTACAAATGTAATTTGTTGGTGTTACTCCTTCCTACTTCTGTGACCTTACCAACCTGCTTGCTCCCTCCGCTCGGTGGGCATTGGCCTGCTCCATGTCACTCGCCCTACCATGCTTTCTGTCATGCTCTCACCTCCAATGCCTTGTCCTTCACCTGTCTTGTTTCCAACCCCCGCTCAGATGCAAACCCTTGACTGTCTAGCTCCTTGGAACGTCCTCACGACATGAAAGGAGTCATATAAATGCATTTTTTTGTTCTTTCCACGTGTGTCGGACACCCGGCTGACAAAACACGACAGGAAACCAAGGCAGGGCAGAGCGAATTCCTGGACTGAGTATAACACTTTCTTGTTTGAAATACAGGTTCATCAATTTAGTAACAAGTCCACAGAGATGGCTCTCCGAGTGGCTTCACTGGATTACTTGGGAACAGTAGCAGCGAGACTGAGGAAAGACGCAGTGTCCTGTAAGATGGACAGGGAGTCGATCGACAGGATCCTGAAGCAGGTCTGCACAAACTGTGAGCTAAAGGAACAATGTGGCTGCAATAGGAATGTGGGCAATGTGATCACAGCAGTAAGAAAGTTCAAGTAAAGGTAGGGCTGATTGGAAATGACAAGGGAAATCTAGTCGTAGGGAATGAAGGTCTGACACCAATACTTGATGTGTATTTGGCCTCCATTTTACAGAAAGTGGTAGTGAGACACTACGTCCAGCAATTAGAAGGGAAAAGCTATAGGAAAGGAAGTGGTGCTAAAGAAATTGATGTCAGCTTGCAAGAGTGCTCAGGGAAGTCAGAGGAAAGCTCTGGCGACAATTTTTCGAACATCCTTGGATTTGAAAGTTGTATAAGGCGACAAAGGGTGGGGGGCTGATGTAATGCCTGGGTTTGAAAACCATTTATAGAGCAGTTAGTCTAACATCCAGATTGGGCAATGGTTTACAACAATAACAACAAAATTACATTTATATAGCGCCTTTCACGTCGGGAGGATGTACCAAGGCGCTGTTTAGACACTATAATAAATACGGGATCATATTAATAACCACTTGGAAAATATGGATTGATTAGAGACAGTTAAAGGCAATGGATTTGTTAAAGGCAAGTCTTGCCTTGACAAATATAGTTTTTTTCCAAAATAGGAGAAACTAGTTGAAGGTAATGCTGTCGATGGGGAAGATTTGGATTGTTGTAAGGTGACACATAGGAGTTGTGTTTACAAACAATGGGCAGGTGCCTGGTATTAATGGGAAGTAATAACATGGATAGACAGTTGATTCAATTCAAGGAAACAGAGGGTGGGAGGACAGGGTTATTATTTACAATGGAGACGGCATCAATTTACAACAACAATTTAAGATAGTAAACAAGCAAATTAGGAGACTTTTTTCACCCACAAACTAGCTAGGATCTGGAATAGCCCCCATGATTCTCCATGTTTTGTCACAGGTCGCTGGGATAGAGGATGAGGTGCAGCAGCTGCAGAAAGCACTGCTGGATTACTTGGATGAGAATACGGAGACAGATCCCTCACTGATGGTAAGTGAGCCAGCCTTTCCCTTTGAAACTTCCGAAATCTAATTAGAAGATTGAGTTGTTTGAAGCTGGAGTTTGTATCCAACCTGTATCAAATGATGAGGTGGGGAGGAGAAAGAGAGCCATGTGAAGGTTGGGAGAACGAGAAAGAAAGGCACCTGAACAAGCACACAACAGACCTCACTTTGACATCTGTATGATGGCATCTCCAACAATCAAGTGCCCGGCCCTAACTCCAGCCAAGCTTATCATCTACCAACAGCTACTCTTTCAAATCGAGTCTTTTAGGGGTTTTACAACAAAGTAGAGAGACTCGGGGACATGAGCATTTGTGTCTAAATGGCGTTTATTTTAAACTCCACACGCCGCTGTTTACCTAGCAGTAAGTAGGAATCTGGTTGTTAACCAATTGGCAGATTGTTTTTCCAGGGGGGTAATAATCCCTTCAAAAAAATAATAATAATTTGGTCACTCAATCCATGACTGTTTGTGGGACACTGCTGTGCGCAATTCACTGCCTTGTTTCACCCCACAAATTTTCAAACTTGAACAGAGAGCCCAGCAGCTTCAGTAGGGAACTCAGTGAGTTGGAACAGAGTGAGAATTCTGTTAAAGAATTTGGTGAGAGTAGGAGTTCGGTGCAGAGGGGAAAGAGATACATAATTATAAACTATATAATATTTATATTAAACTAACATGTCTGGGAATATGGCAGGGCAGCTGAGACCAGTTTCATGCACAATGTGTGCCACGTGGGAACTCCAGGAGGCTTTGTGAGCTCTGGACAGACACGTGTGTAGGAAGTGCCTCCGGCTGCTCGAGCTGGAGCTCAGGGTTTTTGAGCTTGACGAGAGGCTGGAGTCACTACATGGCATATGGGAGGCTGAAAGTATCAAGCTCGGGAATAAGCTAAAGAGAAGGACCTCAAAGGTGGTGAACTCTGGATTACTCCCAGTGCCTCGTGCAGCAGATCAAACACATGGCTGGAGAAATGGTGCAGAAAGGAGGGCTTCAGGTTCCTGGATCATTGGGACCAGTTCTGGGGCAGGTGATGAGTTATATCTGAACAGGGCTGGGATCAATATCCTCGCAGGGAGGTTAACTGGTGCTATAGGGAAGAGTTTAAACTACAATAATATAATAATGATATAATAATAATTCTTGCATTTGATACAGCGCTTTTCACATCTTCTAGACGTCTCAAAGCGCTTCACAGAATATGCTGCAAAGTGAATTAACCGTATATTTGGGCGAAACTAATTTCGAGATGGGAAGGGAATCAGGATGTAGCATCAGAGAGGACAACCAAGTTATACAGAGGGCTGGGAGAGACGAATAGCAATGCAATCAGGAGTAATCCCGAAAAGGGAGGGATTAGACGGGGGAGAAATGCAGAGCAGGCTCAGTGGGTCTTGGAGTGCATGTGTGTAAATGCACGGAGTGTGACAAATAATATTGGTGATCTGCGGCTCAAGTTGCCACATGGGGTTATGGTGTAGTGGCAATAACGGAGACTTGGCTCAAACACGGGCAGGAATGGGAGCTGAATATTCCTGGCTACAATGTACTCGGGAGGGATAGGGAAAGGAAAAAAGGAGGGGACGGGGGTGGCAATATTGATTATAGACACGGTTACGGCCCTGGAAAAGGACGATGTGCTCGAGGGTCCATAAACAGAATCTATTTGGTTAGAGTTAAGGAGCAGAAAAGGAGCTGTTACTCTGTTAAGTGTAAACTATAGACCACCAGTTAATGGGAAGGAGAGAGACGAGCAAATCTGCAGCAGATTTCAGAAAGATGTCAAACCAATAGAGTAATGCTAATGGGGGACTTCAATTATCCTAACATAGACTGGCAACATAACAGTGTAAAGGGCAAGGAGGGGGAGGATTCCTGAAATGTGCACAGGAGAACATTCTGGATAAGTACGTTTCCAGCCCAACGAGGAAGGAAGCAGTGCTGGATCTAGTTCTGGGGTATGAAGTGGGGCAAGTGGAGCAGGTTTCAGTAGGAGAGCATCTGGACAACAGTGAGACAACATCATTAGGTTTAGAGTACTTATGGAAAGGTGAGCAATCAAAGGTGAAATACTCAACTGGAAGAGGCTAATTTCAGTGAGTTAAACAGGGAGCTCGCCAAGGTCGACTGGAAAGAAAGATTGGCAGGTAAACAGCTAACGAGCAATGGAAAGCCTTCAAGGAGGAGATACTTCGGGGACAGAACAAATACATTCCCACAAAGCGGCTATTATTATTATAAAGGAGGGCATCCAAACCTCCCTGGATGAACAAGGAAATTGGGAATAAAATAAAACAGAAAAAGATTGATGATCAGGTTCAAAATATAGAAGATAATCAAATAGAATATAGAAAGTACAGAGGAGAACTGAGAAAGGAAATGAGGAGTAAAGAGACTGTATGAGAAAAGATGAGCGGGTAACATAAAAGGGAACCCTAAGGTAATGTATAAGCATATAAAGAATAAAAGGTTAGTCAAAGGAAGGGTGGGTCTAATTAGGGACCAAAGAGGAAACCTTCTTGTAGAGGCAGAGGGTACGGCTGACGAACTGAATGAGGACTTTGCATCTGTCTTCACAAAAGGAGGGAATGCGGCCAATGCCACAGTATCGGAGGAGATGGGAGAGAAATTGGATAAGATAAGAATAAACCGAGAGGAGGGACTAAAAAGGCTGTCGGTGCTCAAGGAGATAAGTCACCCGGTCTGGACGGGAGGCATCCTAGGTTACTGAGGGAAGTCAGGGCGGAAATAACGGAGGCTCTGGCCACAATCTTTCAATCCTCCTTGGACACCGGGGTGGTCAGAGGACTGGAGGGTTGCAAATGTTACTCCTCCGTACAAAAAGTGACAGAAGGATAAACCCGGGAACTACCGGCCAGTGCCTAACGTCAGTCATGGGGAAACTTCTAGAGACTATAATCCGGGACAAAATAAATTTTCACTTAGAAAAATTTGGGTTAATAAAGGACAGTCAATGTGGATTTGTTAAAGGCAAATCATGGTGAACAAACCTGATAGAGTTTTTTAATGCAGTAACGGAGAGGGCGGATGAAGGGAGTGCAGGTGATGTAGTTTATATGGATTGTCCATATGACAAAGTGCCACATAAGAGACTTGTAAACAGAATCGAAGCCCCGGTATTAAAGGGACAGTGGCAGCGGATACAGAACTGGGAGACAGAGAGCAGAGAGTGTGGGGAACGGTTGTTTCTCTGACTGGAGGGAAGTGTGCAGTGGTGTCCTCCGGGGGAATCGAAACGTTGAACAGGAGAAACTATTCCCACTGGGGGGTGGGTCGGTAACCTGAGGACACCAATTTAAAATAATTGTTAAAAGAAATAAAGGCGTTGATCAGGGCTGTGGGGAGAGAGCGAGGGAGTGGGGTTGATTTAGAAGCTCTTCAAAGAGCCGACACAGACGCGATGGGCCAAATGGCCTCCTTTGCTGTGTAATTCTTTTGATTGTATACAGTCAATTCGCTTTACAGAATATATGAAACGCTTTGAGTTGTCTCAATGATGTGATAGGCACTGTATCAAATGCAAGGAATATTATGTTGTTCTGGTGCTGGACAGAGTCGCTTTTGTGTGACTGATTCCTTATTAAGAATTAGATTGCAGTAATTCTATCTGGTCCATGTGTCAGAGGCCTGAGAGCAACTTGTGGAGCTTGAGAACAACAACAACTTGCATTCCTCACGCAGGCTAGCGTCCCAGAGCGCTTGACAATGGGGGAGCATGAACCCAAGCCTTGGGGTGGTGACTATAGGCACGGTTGAAAAGGAATGTCTCGGCTGTGATCTGAAGATGGGGAAGTAAGGGTCATGGCAGAGGGACAGAGGAAATGTGTTCCAGAGTTTCGTGGCTGAAAGCACAACTGTCGGTGGTGGAACAAAGGACATGAATTCTGAATGAGCTGCTTTTTTTAATAATGGAGCTGGGGAGACCGGTAAAGTCCCTGTTGGTACATGGAGTCCTGTAGCTCACTGGTTAGAGCACTCGTCTTGCAAGCGAGAGACCTGGGTTCCACAACTGTTTGTGGGACACTCACTGCTGTACGCAATTGGCTGCCGTGTTTCGCCCACAAATATACAGTCAATTCACTTTACAGTATATTCTGTGAAGCGCTTTGAGAAGTCGAGAAGACGTGAAAAGCTCTATATCAAATGCCAGGATTACTATTTATGAGGGTCATACAGGAGGCCGGAGCCAGTCAAGAAAAGGCAGTGGTTAGTGTGTTGCGGAGTAAGCAGGTTGGAGAGATCGGGAGGTGCCAGGGCATGAAGTATTTGAGTGCTAAGGTTACTGTGCTTCCCAGTGTGCCACAAAGTAAGTGTGTGTTTATTTTGAAGTTTGCTAGGAAATTTTACATTGCACAGTGGTACCGTGACACCACCATGGAGACAGAGAAAGCCATGAAATCTCAGAACCAGAAGGACGATGATTCCTCAGACGGGACGCAGCACGCCAAGGAGGTGGAGTCCACGGGAGAGATCATGCAGCGCGCAGAGAAACGCAAGAAATTCCTGCGCTCTGTGATCAAAGCGGCCCCTGCTCAGTTTAGTACACTCAGGTATGTTACACAATGACTTGGTGTTTGCTAACTCTCACACAGCCCGGGGTAATGTGCATGCTGCACAAGGGGAATCACCATGTATTGCTGGGAGGTTTTTGATGGGTAACTTGTTTGTGCTGCAACCAGCAGACACTCTCACTCGTTTTCAAATAACTTCATGCCCTCGCACTCCCTACCTCTCTGACCTGCTTAACCCCCTCACCTGCTGCCTCTTCTCATTGGGTAGCGCTCCAGGACGCTACCCCACATGAAGGGTGCTATATAAATGCAAGTTGTTGTTGACACTGAATGCTCTGGGTTGGTATTAACTCACTCTCCTTTCTCGCAGAATGAACTCTGCCAATGTGGACTATGAGGACGCCTGTTTGATTGTCCGTTACTTGGCCTCCATGAGGCCGTTTGCACAGAGCTTTGATATTTATTTGACACAGGTGAGTGCTGAGGTTACATATCCTGAGGAGAGTCACACAGGCACACAACTCAAGCTAGTTGTCAAAGTGCCTCAGTCGTCCTGCTTGTTGAGTTTAGGCCAGCCCAGGGAGGTCACAGATGGCTGTATTACATCGCATCTATGCCTGATGAAGGCACTATGGCACCCAGTGTAACTGGAAGGTCAGCTTGTTATCAACATTAATGTTTAATGATATTAAAACCGGAATCAAGCTGTATTTTGCCAATACTGTGAACCATTGAGTGGGAGGAGACAGGGTAGTGTGTGGAAGACACGGACTCCATTGGCTGAATTTCAGCTTTGAACCAAATTCCTGCCACGTTTGGGTGTGAATGGCGGCTGGTGTCATTATGTGTCCCATTGGCATTTGGTAGAATCGTCGGAACATTATTGTAATAATAATAACACTAATATTTAATAGAGCGCCTTTCACAATGGGAGTCAAACCTTTTCACAGGATGTATTGCAGGTAAACACTGCAGCCCCATACACAGCCATGTCCCCCCCCCCCACACACAGCCATGTCCCTCCCCCACACACAACCATGTGCCCCCCCCACACACACACAGCCATGTTCCCCACACACACACACAGCCATGTCCCCCCCACACACACACAGCCATGTCCCCCACACACACACACAGCCATGTCCCCCACACACACACACAGCCATGTCCCCCACACACACACACAGCCATGTCCCCCCCACACACACACAGCCATGTCCCCACACACACACACAGCCATGTCCCCCACACACACACACAGCCATGTCCCCCCACACACACACAGCCATGTCCCCCCCCCACCCCCACACACACACACAGCCATGGCCCCCACACACACAGCCATGCCCCCCCCACACACACACAGCCATGCCCCCCCACACACACAGCCATGTCCCCCACACACACACACAGCCATGTCCCCCCCACACACACACAGCCATGTCCCCCACACACACACACAGCCATGTCCCCCACACACACAGCCATGTCCCCCACACACACACACAGCCATGTCCCCCCCACACACACAGCCATGTCCTCCCCACACACACAGCCATGTCCCCCACACACAGCCATGAAGTGAATAATCAATTCATGTGGGTGGATTGTCAGCCAGGAATGCTGTAGGAACTCCCTTCTCTTTTCAAATAGTGCCTGGGATCTTTAACATCCACCTAGATGGGAACTGACAGGGCCTCAGTTTAACATCTCACTTGACCATGCCACGTACAACAATGTGGTCCCACCCCAGTTCTGTATTGGAGTAGTCACCAGGACTTAAAGTTAAATTTATGAGAACAGGTTGCATAAACTTGGTCTGTATTCCCTTGAGTTTAGGAGTTTGAGGGGTCAAATTGAGGTATTTAAAATAATAAAGAAATTTGATAAGATAGTATAATAATAGGTCAGCTACAGAGAAGCTATTTCCTCTGGTGGGGAATCCAGAACAAGGCATCATCTTAAAATTAGAGCTTGGCCATTTAGGAGTGAAATCAGGAGGTTTTTCACCCCAAGGGTAGTGGAAATCTGGAACTCTTTTCCCCGGCTGTGGATTATGGCTGGATCCATTCACATTGTCCAGAATGAGATGGATAGATATTTGTTAGGTCGGGGTATCAGGGGAAAAGAGGAAAAAGTGGGTAATTGGAGCTGAGGTACAGATCAACTGTGATCCTATAGAATGGCGGAACAGGCATGCGCAGTTGAATGGTCTATTCCTGTTTCTATGCGAGAGAGTGATTCATTGAGCTGGGCTGACTCATTTGCTATTCAAGAGAAGAACGCATTCCATTCATCGATTTCATGGCAAATCATTGTTTGTGTTGCAGATCCTCCGTGTTCTGGGGGAGAGTGCTATCGCTGTACGAACAAAGGCCATGAAGTGTCTGTCTGAGGTCGTGGCTGTGGACCCCAGCATATTAGCAAGGGTAAGGTGTCCAAACTTCCTCTACAACTAGGAAAGCCAGTGGTAGCTGGAGCCTCATCTCAGTTAAGGGTCAACCATGAAAGTTGGAGCAATTGTTTCCATAGGAACAACTGCAAATCAGAGTGTTGCAGGATTGGATGAAGAGAAGTGGTGATGGGATGATTTGTGTTTTTATATTTATAACCTTGCATGTGATATGGCATCTTGTCACGTCTTCGAGATGTCTCAAAGCGCTTCACAGAATATACTGTGAAGTGAATTGACTGTATTTTGTGGGCAAAACATGGCAGCCAATTGCGCACAGCAATGAGTGTTCCACAAACATTTGTGGATTGAGTGACCAAATTATTTAGTGCTGAGCTAGTTGCCAGGAATGATTTCTCACGAGCATAGACCGGTTCTCTGACATCCATCTCTGTGGAATGGCACTCTCCTGGTTCAATTCCTACTTGACCCACTGCCTCCACTTTGACTCCTATAACGATTTCTCCTCCCTCCCCCAAATAGTCATTTGTGATGTACATTAGGTCTCTATCCTCAGCCCCTCCTCTTCCTCATCTCATAGAATCACACAGCACAGAAAGAGGCCAGAAAACAGCAATCCAACCCAGTCCCACTGGCCCACTTTCTCCCCATAGCCCTGCAATCCTGTCCTCCCCAAATACCCATCTACTTCTCTCTTAAAAGTTGTTATTGCATCGGCTTCCACTACCCTTTCAGGTAATACATTCCAGATCCCAACACCTCGTTGGGTGAAACATTTTCTCCTAACCTGCCCTCTGTCTATCTATCTTAAACTAACTTAAATCAGTGTCCTCGGGTTACTGACCCACACACCAGTGGGAACAGTTTTTCCCGGTTCAACCTATCAAATCCTCTCATGATCTTGAAAACCTCTATTAAATCCCCTCATAATCTTCTCTGCTCCAGGGAGAATAATCCTAGTTTCTCTAACCTCTCCTCATAACTAAGGTCCTTCATTCCTGGTACCATCGGGTAAACCTCCTTTGCACCCTCTCCAATGCCCGAACATCTTTCCTAAAGTGCGGTGCCCAGAACTGAACGCAGTCTCCAACTGAGGCCTAATCAGCATTTTATAAATATTCAGCATAACTCCTGACTTGTGTACTCTATGCCCTATTTGTAAAGCCGAGTATCCCGGATGCTTTTATAACCTCTTTATCTACCTGTCCGGCCACCTTCAGAGATTTGCTGATGTGGACCCCCAGGTCTCTCTGTTCATTTGCCCCCTTTAAGATTGTACCATCAGCCTATATTGCCTCTCCTCATTCTTCCTACCAAAACGCAACACTTCACATTTCTCCACATTAAACCTCATCTGCCACGTATCTGCCCATGTTACCATCTGTCTAAGTCCTCTTGGAGTCCGGTGCTGTCCTCCTCACCATTAGCTGCTTTTCCTATCTTGGCGTTCTCTGCAAATTTGGAAATTGCTCCATATATCCAGGTCCAGATCATTAATATAGATCAGAAAGAGCAGTGGTCCCAATATCGACCCCTGAGGGACACCACTATACCCCTCCCTCCAGTCAGAAAAGCAACCGTTTACTACCACTCTCTACCTTCTGACTCTTCGCCAGTTCTGGATCCATGTTGCCACAGTCCCTTTCATGCCGTGGGCTTCTATTTTGTTTATCAGTCCCTTATGTGGCACTCTGTCAAATGCCTTTTGAAAATCTAGATAAGCTATGTCTACTGCACTACCTTCATCCATCCTCTCAGTCACTTCATCAAAACATTCTATTAGATTTGGGGACAAAACAAACACTTAAACTTAACATCGGGGGTAGGAAAGATAATGGAATCCTTACTGAAGAAGGTAATAGAAAAACACGGAAAACATAATAAAGACAAGTCAGCACGGATTTCAAAAAGGAATGTCAGGCTTGATCAAGGGATGGAAAATGGAATATGAGGGCAAACTAACGAAGAACATAGAGACAGACTACAAGAGTTTTTATAAATATATAAAGAGGAAGAGGCTGTCAAAGGTAAATGTGGGTCGGCTACAGCAGAGACGGGGGGAATAATAGTAGGGGACAAAGACATGGCAGAGTCATTAAACAAGTACTTTGCTACTGTCTTCACCTCAGAAGACACTGAAAACCTACCAAGAATAGAGGGGAACCAAGAAGACAATGTTAGTGAGCAACTTGGGAATTAATATTAATAAAGAAATGGTTTTAGGTAAATTGTCAGGTCTTAAAACTGATAAATCCCCTGGACCTGATGGCCTACATCCTCGGGTTTATAAAGAGGTGGCGACTGAGGTAGTGGACGGTTTGTCTTTGAGCTTCCGAAATTCTCTGGATTCTGGACCGGTTCCTATTGATTGGAAGATTGCAAACGTGACACCACCATTTAAGAAGGGTGGGAGAGAAAAGATGGGGCACTATAGACCAGTTAGTCTGACTTCAGTGGGAGGGAAAATTCTTGAGTCCTTAATTAAAGATGTCGTTATGGGATTCCTGGAAGACCATAACAAGATGAGGCAGAGTCAACATGGCTTTACAAAGGGAAGTCACGCTTCACTAATCTTTGAGAGTGTTTGAAGATGTATCTGCAGGTTAGAGAGGGGGGAACCAGTAGGTGTAGTATATTTAGATTGTAAAAAGGCATTTGACAAAGTGCCACACAGAAGGCTATTGCACAAGGTTAAGGCCCACGGGATTGATGGGAACATATTACCATGGATTGAAGAGTGGCCAACGGGTAGAAAACAGTGAGTAGGGATAAACGGGTCATTCTCAAATTGGCAGGAGGTGACTAGAGGAGTGCCACAGGATCAGTGCAACTAAGAAGGCGAACGGCAGTTAGCGTTCATTGCCAAAGGTTTAGAGTACAGAGTAGGGAAGTCTGACTGCAACTGTACAGGGCTTTGGTGAGACCGCACCGAGAGTATTGTGTGCAGTTTTGATCTCCTTATTTATAAAAGGACACACTTGCCCTCGAGGGGGTGCAGCGTAGATTCACTCGGTTAGTGCCTGGGATGAGGGGACTGACCTATGAGGATAGGGCTGTATTCTCTATAGTACAGAAGAATTAGGGGGAATCTTATTGAAACATATAAGATTCTTAAAGAGCTGATAAAGTAGTCACTGAGGGACTGTTTCCCCGGGAGGAGAATCTATAACCGGGTCACAGTCTGAAAATTAAAGGTCAGCCTTTTAGAACAGAGTTGAGGAAACTTTTCTTCACTCAGAGAGCAGTGACTTTATGGAATCCACTCCCCCGAAGGCTGTAGATGTCAGTCCTCGAACAGCTTCAAGGCTGAGACTGACAGACGTTTAAACAACAGAGGCATTAGGGGCTATGGGGAGAGGGCGGGTAATTAGAGTCAGGTCTGAAGATCAGCCGTGATCTTAGCGAATGGCGGGGCACAGGCTCGAGGGGCTGAATGGCCGACTCCTGCTCCTAATGCTTATGTTCTTGTGTTCATTGAATTCTTTGAAGGGGTAACAGAGAGAGTATACAAAGGGAATGCGGTAGATGTTATACATTTAGATTTCCAAAAGGCGTTTGATAAGATACTACATCATACACTAATGAATAAGCTCAGAGCCTGTGGAGTCAGGGGAAAAATAACAGAATGGATAGCAAGCTGGCTACAAAACAGCAAACAGAGTAGGGGTAAAGAGTAGCTACTCAGACTGGCACGGGGGGGGGGGGGGGGGGTGTTGGTGGACAGTGGTGTTTCACAAGGTTCAGTGTTGGGGTCCACTGTTGTTCACAATATACATTAATGATTTGGACTCGGGAATCAGCAGGACAATTTCAGAATTTGCAGACGACACCAAATTGGAGGAATAGTTAATACAGAGGAAGACAGCAACAAATTACAGCAAGTCATTAATAAACTTACTGAGTTTACCTACCTACCCGCCCGTACCCTCCGTTCCTCTGGCTCCGGTCTGCTCCACGTCCCCCGCCCCAACCGCCCTACCATCGGTGGTCGGGTCTTCAGCCTCTCAGCCCCGAGGCTCTGGAACTCCATCCCCCAGTGCCTTCGCCGCTTCCTCCCTTTCCTCCTTCAAGGCCGGTCTCAAAACCTTTCTCTTTGACCTTCAGCCTTCAGCTCCCCTCTCGACTCTCTACCCCCTCCTCGCTCCCTCCCTTCCCTCCCCTCACCCTGACCATTTCCCCACTGCTCGGGTCATGACCCAACTGTGCAGCGCCTTGGGACGTCCTCCTGACGTGAAAGGCGCTTTATAAATGGAATCTTGTTGTTGTTGTTGTTGAGTGGGCATTTAAATGGTAAATGCATTTCAAAGTAGAAAAGTGTGAGGTGGTACATTTTGGTAGAAGGAATAAGGAAGTCATCAACAAATAAAAACCTAAATGGGGTAGAGAAGCAAAGGAACCTATCTAGAGCCCTCAGGGCTCTGTCCTCGGTCCCCTCCTCTTCACCCTCTATATGCTCCCCTGTGGTGACATCATCCGCAGACATGGGGTTCACTCCCACATGTATGCGGATGACACCCAACTCTACCTTTCCTCCTCTACCCTCAACTCCATGACCCCCGATGTCCTGACAGTCTGCCTGTCCGACATCGAGTCCTGGACGAGAGACAACTTTCTTCAGCTCAACGTGAGCCAAACTGAGGCCCTCCTGATTGGCTCACGTCAGCGCCTCCGCACCTCAGGCGCTGACACCATCAGCTCCGCACTCTCCACCTCTCAAAGCCATCAGGAACCTCGGTGTTCTGTTCGACCCTCAGCCCTCCTCTCCCCCTCCGCACTCCCCCCTCCACCTCCTCCTCAACCCCCTCCTCCTCCCTCCCCTCGGGGTTCCCCTCGACCCTGAGCTGTCCTTTCTCCCACATATCCGCGGCACAACTGGCACCGCCTTCCATCACCTCCGGAACATCGCCACTACCTCACCCCTCACGCGGCTGAAACTCTGGTCCACACCTTTATCACCTCAAGGCCGGACTATGGGAACTCTCTCCTCGCCGGCCTTCCCGGCCCTAATAATAATAATAATCCTTGCATTTGATATAGCGCTTTTCACGTCGGGAGGACGTCCCAAAGCACTTCACAGAACATACTGTAAAGTGAATTGACTGTATATTTGTGGGCGAACGCGGCAGCCAATTGCGCACAGCAATGTCCCACAAACAGTCGTAGATTGAAAATGACCAATTTATTATTGTTTTTTGTTTTGGAGGATTATTATTAGGCTCTGTGTGGAGTAAGGAAACTTGCCCGAGGTTTCGCCTTGAACTCTGGACCTGAACTCAGGTCTCTCACTTGCAAAGCGAGTGCTCTAACCACTGAGCTACAGGACTCCACAAAAGCCCTCCCTCCACACTGCAGGTCATTCAGAACTCTGCAGCTCGTGTACTATCCCGCACCACATCACTCCCACCCTCACCCTCACCCTCGCCCTCGATCGCCTCCACTGCTCCCCATCCCCCAGAGGATCGAATTCAAGATCCTCATCCTCACCTACAAGGCCATTCCCGGCCTCTCTCCGACCTACTATCCCCCTACCTACCTGCCTGTACCCTCCGTTCCTCCGTCTGCTCCACATCCCTCGCCCCAACCGCCCGACCATCGGTGGCCTTCAGCCTCTCAGCCCCCAGGCTCTGGAACTCTATCCCCAGTGCCTTCGCCGCTTCCTCCCTTTCCTCCTTCAGGGCCGATCTCAAGACCTTTCTCTTTGACCTTCAGCCTTCAGCTCCGCTCTCGACTCTCTACCCCCTCCTCACTCCCTCCCTTCCCTCCCCCCGACCATTTCCCCCCTCCTCGCTCCCTCCCTTCCCTCCCCTCACCCTGACCATTTCCCCCCTCCTCGCTCCCTCCCTTCCCTCCCCTCACCCTGACCATTTCCCCCCAATGCTCGGGTCCTGACTCAATTGTACAGAGCTTTGGGACGTCCTCCCGACGTGAAAGGCGCTCTATAAATGGAATCTTGTTGTTGTTGTTGTAGAGGGTAGAAATGAAAAGCAGGGAAGTTATGGTAAACCTATAGAACCTTGGTTATAGAATACTGTGCAGTTCTGGTCCCCACAATATATAAGGGATGTAGAGGCACTGGAGAGGGTGCAAAGGAGATCACAAGGATGATCCCAGAACTGAGAGGTTAGACGTATCAGGAAAGGCTGAACATGCTTGGACTCTTTTTTCTTGAAAAGAGGAGGGTAAGGGGTGACCTGATAGAGGTCTTTAAAATGATGAAAGGTTTTGATAGGGTCGACATAGGGAAGGTTTCCACTTGTGGGGGAGACCAAAACAAAGACCATCAATAGAAAATAGTCACCAGTAGGTCAAATAGGGAAGTTAGAAGAAATGTCTTCATACAGAGAGCAGTGGGAATGTGGAACATGCTGCCACAAGGAGTTGTTCAGGCAAATAGCACAGATGTATTTAAGGGGAAGCTGGAGAGGTACATGAGGGAGAAAGGAATAGAAGGTTCTGCTGATGGGCTTAGTTGAGGAAGAGCAGGAGGAGGCTCATGTGGAGATAAACAGCGGCATAGCCCAGTTGGGCTGAATGGCCTGTTTCTGTGCTGTATATTCTAATGTATTCTCCAGCCTATGGTGCGGTTTGCTCCACCATTGGAACTCTCTAATCCAATTAGAACAACAACATTTGGCATTTCCCTTTCATGTCAAGAAAGCGCTGGCTGGACAGTCGAGGGCTTGCACCCGAGGAAGAGGTTGGATTCGGGAGGGTTTGGGGGTGAGTGTGGTAGGAAAATGACCGAAGAGGAAGGACTTGAGATGGACCTTGACGAAGGGGAGGGACACAGGTCAAGGCTAAGGCTCAGCGGGATGGAACTGCAGCGAGTGGGGGCAGTAAGGCTGACAGCCTGCCTGAGGGTGAGCCAGGCACATGAAGGAGGCCAGTCACAGTTCCCTTGTGTACTAGTTTGTGTGTTTTTTCTTAAGGATTCATTCTTTTTTCCCCAATCCAGCTGGACATGCAGCGCGGAGTACACGGTCGTTTGATGGACAACTCCACCAGCGTGCGGGAGGCAGCCGTGGAGTTACTCGGGCGCTTTGTGCTGAGCCGACCCCAACTGACGGAGCAGTATTACGATATGTTGATCGAGAGGATACTGGTACGTATGTCTGTGAGCAGCGATATCACACTGAGCGGACAGTGTAGTCTGTGAGCAGTGATATCACACTGAGCGGACAGTGTAGTCTGAGCAGCGATATCACACTGAGAGGACAGTGTAGTCTGTGAGCAGCGATATCACACTGAGAGGACAGTGTAGTTTGTGAGCAGTGATATCACACTGAGCGGACAGTGTAGTCTGAGCAGCGATATCACACTGAGAGGACAGTGTAGTCTGTGAGCAGCGATATCACACTGAGAGGACAGTGTAGTTTGTGAGCAGCGATATCACACTGAGAGGACAGTGTAGTCTGTGAGCAGCGATATCACATTGAGAGGACAGTGTAGTCTGTGAGCAGCGATATCACACTGAGAGGACAGTGTAGTCTGAGCAGCGATATCACATTGAGAGGACAGTGTAGTCTGTGAGCAGCGATATCACACTGAGAGGACAGTGTAGTCTGAGCAGCGATATCACATTGAGAGGACAGTGTAGTCTGTGAGCAGCGATATCACACTGAGAGGACAGTGTAGTCTGAGCAGCGATATCACATTGAGAGGACAGTGTAGTCTGTGAGCAGCGATATCACACATAATCCCTTCCAAAAAAGATAGTCATGGTAATACTAATTTAGCCACTCAATCCACGACTGTATGAGGGACACTCACTGCTGTGCGCAATCGGCTTCTGCGTTTCCCCCAGAAAATATACAGTCAATTCACTATATTCTGTGAAGCGCTTTGAGACGTCCGGAAGACGTGATCATAGAATCACAAGAATTATACAGCAAAGAAGGAGGCCATTCGGCCCATTGTGTCTGTATCGGCTCCTTGAAAAGAGCTTCCAAATCAACTCCACTCCCCCGCTCTCGCCCCATAGCCCTGATCAACCCCACTCCCCCGCTAACTCCCCATAGCCCTGATCAACCCCACTCCCCCTCTCTCCCCATAGCCCTGATCAACCCCACTCCCCCACGCTCTCCCCATAGCCCTGATCAACCCCACTCCCCCGCTAACTCCCCATAGCCCTGATCAACCCCACTCCCCCACTGTCTCGCCATAGACCTGTAAACTTGTCCTTCCAAATAATTATCTACTTCTCTCTTAAAAGTTGTTATGGATTCGGCTTCCCTCAGCCTTTCAGGCAATAGATTCCCAATCCCAACAACTCGCTGTGTGAAAACATTTCTCCTCACCTCCCCTCTGTTTCTTTTAACAGCTGTTTTAAACCGGTGGCCTCGGGTTACCGACCCACCCGCCAGTGGGAATAGTTTCTCCTCGTTCACCCTATCGAATCCCCTCATAATTTTGAAAACTTCTTAAGTCTCCTCTTAACCTTCTCTGCACCATCCTGGTGAATCTCCTTTGTACCCTCTCCGAGTCCTTGACATCCTTCCTAAAGTGTGGGGCCCAGAACTGCACCCAGTCTCTAACTGAGGCCTAACCAGTGTTTTATATAAAGGTTCATCATAACTTCCTGACACTTGTATTCTAAGCCCTATTTATAAAGCCTAGTATCTGACATCGAGTCCTGGACGAGAGACAACTTTCTTCAGCTCAACGTGCACAAAACTGAGGCCCTCCTGATTGGCTCACGTCAGCGCCTCCGCACCTCAGGCGCTGACAGCATCAGCTCCGCACTCTCCACCTCTCAAAGCCATCAGGAACCTCGGGGTTCCCCTCGACCCTGAGCCGTCCTGTCTCACACTGCCTTCCATCACCTCCGGAACATCGCCACTCCCTCACTCCTCACGCGGCTGAAACCCTGGTCCACGCCTTTATCACCTCAAGGCTGGACTATGGGAACTCTCTCCTCGCGGCCTTCCCGGCCCTCCCTCAACACTGCAGGTCATTCAGAACTCTGCAGCTCGTGTACTGTCCCGCACCACATCACTCCCACCCTCGCCCTCACCCTCTCCCTCGCTCTCACCCTCGCCCTCACTCCCACCCTCACCCTCGCCCTCGCTCACCTCCACTGCTTCCCATCCCCCAGAGGATTGAATTCAAGATCCTCTTCCTCACCTACAAGGCCATTCCCGGCCTCGCTCCCTCCTACCCCTCCGACCTACTATCCCCCTACCTACCCGCCCGTACCCTCCTTCCTCTGGCTCCGGTCTGCTCCACATCCCCCGCCCCAACCGCCCGACCATCGGTGGCCTTCAGCCTCTCAGCCCCGAGGCTCTGGAACTCCATCCCCAGTGCCTTCGCCGCTTCCTCCCTTTCCTCCTTCAAGGCCGGTCTCAAGACCTTTCTCTTCAACCGTGCCTTCAGCTCCCCTCTCGACTCTACCCTCTCCTCGCTCCCTCCCTTCCCTCCGCTCACCCTGACCATTTCCCCCCTCCTCGCTCCCTCCCTTCCCTCTCCTCACCCTGACCATTTCCCCCTGCTCGGGTCCCGACCCAACTGTCCAGCGCCTTTGGGCGTCCTCCCGACGTAAAAGGCGCTCTATAAATAAAATCTTTTTGTTGTTGTATCCCGGATGCTTTATTAACAGCTGTATCTACCTGTCCGGCCACCTTCAGAGATTTACTATATGACCCCCAGGTCTCTCTTTAAGATTGTACCATCAGTTTATATGGCCTCTCCTCATTCTTCCTCACGAACTCCCATCACTTTGCATTTCTCCACATTAAACGCCATCTGCCCCGTGTCGGCCCACGTTACCAGTCTGTCTATGGCCATTTACAGGCTGCGACTGTCCTCCTCACTGGTTACTACTTTCCCAGCTCAGTATCATCTGCAAACTTGGAAATTGTCCTCCCTATACCCAAGCCCAGGTCATTTATATAGATAAGGCACTATGTCAAGTGCAATCATTATATTATTATATCAAATGCAAGGATTATTAGTATTGGCATCCAATCCCCTAGCGGATTGAGTTCAAAATCCTCCTGGTATGTTTTGCCCCACCATTGGCTTTCTGCTCCTACTGTCTGGAACTCCGTCCTGCAGTCATAGCAACTCAGCTCTTCCCTCACCTCCTTCAAGGTCTGTCTCGACTTCCCTTTGACCGCGTTTTCGTCCATCTTTCTCCCTCCTTCCCCTCTGCACACCCCTCAGCTTGGATGCAAACCTTGGGCAGTCAGAACGTCGGGCCACCTCCCAATATAAAAGGCGCCAAACAAATGTCTATTGTATTATACAGGACACCGGCATCAGCGTGAGGAAACGGGTCATAAAGATTCTTCGTGATATCTGTATCGAACAACCCACCTTCTCCAAAGTGACTGAGATGTGTGTGAGAATGATTCGCAGGGTCAATGACGAAGAGGGAATTAAGGTAAAGTCATATGCGTTGAGTGACGTGCCAGCCTGACAGTTTCTCACCCCACCACCACCAAACAGCAGTGAGTGTGAGAGCCAGCCGGCCTCTGTGCTGCAGTCAGGTTCCTGATCGCTAACTGTTCAGTGTGTCGGGACATCCTCCCAACGTGAAAGGCGCTTTACAAATCTAATTTTGTTGTTGTTGTTGTTCTGAGAAGTGAATAAGTTGAAGCTCTCGTTGTCTGTCAGCGCTCTGAGACACCGCCCAGCGTGGAGGGCGCTATATAAATGCAAGTTGTTTTTGTTGTCTGTTGCTTGTGAGGCTGCGGTTGACCTGCTAACCCCATATCAACCTGTCTGCTCCCTCCGCTCAGCAGGCTCCAGCCTTCTCCATGTCCCCCGCCTGCCCACCCCACCCCCTGAGCCTCTCTGCCCCCACTCTCTGGAACTCGATCCCACAGTCCCTTCGCCTCACCCCTCCCTTGCCGCTTTCAAGGCACGTCTCAAGACCCTCTTCTTCGACCGTGCCTTCTGCCACCCTCCTACCCCTACCCTCCCTGCCCTCCACCTCTCCTGATCCCAACCCTGCTCAGGTCTAAATCCCTGACTGTCCAGCGCCTTGGGATGTCCTCCCGATGTGGAAGGTGCCGTGTAAATGTAAGATGATGTTGTGGTTGTTCTCAGTGTTGTGTCTGAATCTTTGCAGAAACTGGTGAATGAAACCTTCCAGAAGCTGTGGTTTACCCCAACGCCGCCTCACGACTCGGAGGGAATGACCAGGAAAATTCTCAATGTCACCGATGTGGTGAGTTGCGGGTACCTTCTCATCAGCTGCTCGCTCTTCTCCTGTCGCTGTCTGATTAATCTCTACACTAGCCTTTGTTAAATGGTCAAGTCATCTGATGTACAGAATCCCATCACCATGCTTAAGAATATCCAAACCAAACTACTGAGACTTCCAGCTTAGCCGTTATATATCCTGTTTGTACCCACTCTCTCCCTGGAGGGATGCATCCTGCTTACCTAATCCTGGAGAGGCGCAGGTTGGCCAAAGCCAAGGCTTGGAGACCAGAATGTGTGTTGGGGTAACTCTTGGAGTCTAACCAGTTAAAACCACACAGCTTGCCGTTGATATTGCTGCTTGGCAAGCTTTCCCGCTGCTTGTCAAGCTAGGACCACCCTACCTGCTAGGGCTTTGGCTGAAGGGTTAACAGGAGCTGAGCCAGAAACAATTCTGTCCCAAGTGTCTGGTCTGTCCCTACAAGTCAAAGCATGGGGTGATAGGCTCGCGGAGACACATTATCTGGGAGCCAGCTCAACTCCAAACAGACTGCCTCTCCCCCACCTCCCTCCAGCAGCATGTTCACCCCAACCAACCCTGTGCTGCTGATGTTCTGCTTCTCGAGAATGTAGGTACCTGTGATTCCTGAGTGCTGAGAAACTGGAGATTTCTGCTCACAGTTAGCCTAGCCGGTGATCCCTTCTTCCACTCAGGAAAATCTGTGGGTTTTACTGTTGCTGCTTTTAACAGAACATCTGTTGCTTATTTTGATGGAATGTAACCCAGCACACCTTGAGATGAGGGGGATACAGGCCAAAGTCTGTGAGAGATAGTAAATGTGCATGGAGTTTCTGCGGTTCGGTGGTCTTGAAGGATTACAGAGGGATATTCTATTTGGGACTTCCTGTTTACAGAATCTCACTGAATGCCACAGTTGAGACCCCACAACTTTGGAGGGAGAAGAGGTTGAGAGACATGGTCAAGGAAGTGAAATTAATTCAACCAAAAACTGACTGAATTGTTGGCCTCAACGGCCATTCGTGTTCCTAAAATATCTTGTTCTTATGAAGTATCTATAAGCCCAGGGTACTTTCATTGCTAGTCCCTCCCCAACTCTCCTCTCCAAACATGGTAAGCACAGTGCTGGTGGGATAGCTGAATGCTGGCAGTCTGAAGTGGACATGCTGTTTGTCAGTGAGTTTGTGTTGATGAGTGTGTTTACCTACTCGTAGGTGGCAGCGTGCAGGGACACTGGCTACGATTGGTTTGAGCAACTTCTTCAGAATGTAAGTGTTCCTCTCTCTGTGTTTGGTGTTTAACTGTTTAGTATTTCAGATCGATTTTATTTTACAGTCCACATCACAGCGATCAAGCATATTTTGTCGACATACACGGATGTGGATAGGAATGGGTTGATGATAAATGGGCACACTATTATTAAACCGTCTGTTTGTTCAGGTGGATGTTAAAGATGGCATATTGAAAAGAGAAGGGTGTCCTGCTGTCCTTATCAACAATCACCCAAATAAAATTGGTCATTCACTTCATGACTGTTTGTGGACCTTACTGTGTGCAAATTGGTTGGCCCCAGTCATGCACTGTACAGCAGATCCTGTGAAACTATGTTGAGATGTCTTTCCCATGTGACAGGTGTTGCATCAAATACACAGCTGTGTTTGCCTACAAATTCACAGTCACTGCATTTCACAATTAAATCTGTGAAGCACTTCAAGTCGTCCTTCGATTGTAATAAGACACTGTACCAGATTGCAGGGATTATTATTATTATAAAAATAAATTGAGCAAGAATTTGATATGAGAGATTGAGGAAAATAGCACAAACAAGTAGAAGTATATAATATAATGATAAAAATACTAGATTACGTGTGTTCAAAGTTCACTGACGTGGGGTTTGAACCTAGAACCTTTTGACTGGGGGAGGAGAGTACTACTAACTAAGCCAGCCTGATTCTGAATTTGCTGTTACATATCGAAGCCGAGTAACAAAGCACCAAACTCTGCGGAAAACATTAAGACTAACGCCAAATAAAATACTTGTAGTGATAATAATAATCCTTACATTTGTTATTGTGCCTTTCTCATTGGGACAACATCGTAAAGCGTTTTACAAGATAACTGTAAAGTGGAGTGACTGTGTTTTGTGCGATACGCGAAATAGCTTTGTACAGAAATTAATAAGAGGGTAAACCAGCAAGGCGTGGGGGGTCACAACAACAACAACTTGCATTTCCACAGCGCCCTTAACGTCCCGGAGTGCTTGACAGTGGCAGAGCACAACACCAAAGCAGGAGGGTGGGGGTGACCGTAAGAACAATCAAAAAGGAAGGTGGGGAGGGAGAGGGCAAGGCAGAGGGATTGAGGGGAAGAGTTCCAGAGTTTCGGGACATAGTGGCTGAAGGCACGGCCACCGATGGTGAGCAGAGAGGGCAAGGGACAAACAGGAGGCAGGAGCCTACAAGATGGAAAAGGTAATGAGGCAGCTCCTCTTGTTTCCACTACAGTTACTAAAGTCTGAGGAGGACTCATCATACAAACCAGTGAAGAAAGCCTGTGTGCAGATCGTGGATAATCTGGTGGAGCACATCCTCAAATACGAGGAATCGCTTGCAGGTAAACTCTGCACCAGAGACATAAACTGTGCAGATACGTAGGAGAGTTCTCAACTCCCAGCCTTCACCATAACCACAATCATTTCTCTCTCCAGGAATCTTTCACACTTGGAATTGTGAGTCAGTGCCATTGCTGGGCTGGACTGTGCATTCCTCTACAAGCACATGCTGTCTAGATCAGTAACTGTACTACTCGAGTTCCCTCTAACACTGCCTGCTTGTCTGTGATGCCCTGCTAACCCATTCCACAATGTTTCCCTTGGTGTGACTCCTGATTGCCTCCTAACGCTGTCACATTGAGCGTGTGGCCTTACCTGTGATGCACTACCCGAAGCTTGTTCTTGATCATCTGTCAGATAACTTCAGTCACCTGTTTGCCAATGAGAATCAGCCCAATGTCTTCCCCTTTACCCAGGATGTTGGTGCTGAGACCTGACATCCTTTTGGCTACTCATCTTCTCATTCATTAAAATAAGAACTTCTTTCCTGTGCTCAGATGACAAAGTGCACAATTGGTGCAGATTGGTTCTGACAGACACCTCCTGTAACACTAACCTCCTCTGATCTGTGCTCTTGCTCTGCTAATACATGACATTCAGCCTGGTGCAGTGGTAGCTCCCTTGTCTCTGAATCAGAAGCTTATGGGTTCAAGCTTCATTGGGTCTTGACTCATACAGTCTAAGCTGACATCCCAATGCAGTGCTGAGTTGTGTTGCATTGTCAGAGGTGCTGTCCTTCGAATGAGACATTAAACCAAGGCCCAGTCTGCATGTTCAGGTGGCACTTGTAAAGAGAATGGAATTTCTCCCGGTGTCAGGGCCAACAATCCCCCAAATAAAATTGGTCATTTACTTCATGAGTGTTTGGGACGTTGCTGTGTGCAAAAAATTGGCTGCTGAGTTTGCCCAAAACTACACAGTCAATTTTGGGACATCCTCCCAATGTAAAAGGTGCTATATCCAATGCAGAGTTTATTATTAAGATATTTGCCTTTGTACTACCACAGAGTTCACTGATTACTCCTGAATACCTCTCAGGCTGAGACAGTGGCCCTGTCTGTATAACATACATCATCTCCTGCTTCCTTGCTTCACATTGATAGTTTTATCTTTGTTTACATTGAATTGTATTTGCCACTGAGTTGTCCGCAGGTATAAATCCTCTGTTTTCATTAGTATCTTCCCCATTACTTGTTCTCCTCCTTGCTGGTATCAGATGCAAAATGGAGATTGTGCTTATGATCCCTTCATGTGAGCAATGTAAAGTGAAAAGGATCTGTATTTACAGAGTTTGTTTAGCTACGTGAACAGCGCTTGCTGCCTGTGTTGGGTCAGTTATTGGCTGTGGTTTAGTGCCTCATAATGCAGCGTGTGGGGTGGACAGAGGAATGTGCAGTCAGGGAATGGAGTGCTCTGGGTTGTGGAGGTGAAGTGCAGTGACCTCTGTGTCTGTGTTTTTCTGGTAGATTCTGACAGCAAAGGCATGAACACCAACTGCCTGGTGGCTTGTTTAATCACTTTGTACCTGTTCAGCAAAATACAGCCTCATCTAATGGTCAAGCATGCAATGACGCTTCAGCCGTACCTCACCACAAAGTGTAATGTAAGTATCCTGTCCACCTGCACAACATCTCACAGCACACACACCCAAGCCAAGGTTTTATATATATATATATATGTAGAGGTAAATCTAAACTTACATACATTGTTAGACCATAGTTAGAATATTGTTGTATTGTTCAGTATTGTTTCCCCCATTTTAGGAAAGACGTTGGGGTGATAGAGGAGGAGGGTAACACCAGGAGGAGGGGATCCTTGCAATAAAGAAGGTTGAAGGTGACCTGATCGAGGTCTTTAAAATTATGAGGGTTTTTAATAGTCAATAGGGAGACATTATCCCCACTGGCCAATGTGTCAGTGACCAGAGGGTATTAATTTAAATTAGTTAGTAGCCCAGCAAATGGGGAGGTTTGTAGACATTGTTTCATAAACAGAGTGGTTAGGATTTAGAAATAGCCTACAGTGGTGATTGAGGCAGATTCCCATATTAGATCGTTGCTACAACTCATTGTATCCAAAGCATGGGTGTGTTATGTCACTTCTTTATTAGCAACTTGAAGACATTCAATATTGAACACATTTTGCTTCTTTTTAATATCTCTTTTCAATCTCGTCGTCTGTCCCAGTCCAAAACACTTCTGACACCATGTAATATGTAATCGCAAGTACTGGTGTGTTAGGTAGTTTCTTTATCAGCAACTCAAAAGATATCGAGTACTGCAGCCATCACATCTTATGCACTGACTCCCTTCCCGGGTCCTTTTATACTTCCTGTTCTATTGCATAGGTTCTTCTCAAACTGGCCATTACTCTTAAAGGGATATCCCACAAACTCTGCATAGTACTATCCAGACTTCAAGGATACCTTTGTGAGTCTGTTATGAAGCCCTGGGTGGCAGAACAGCTTCTCCCAGAGGCTTGTCAGAGTGTGGAGGGGGATTTGCCAAAGGAAGAATATAGAGGGTCAGCAACAACAAATGACATTTGTATAGAACCTTTCACGTCTGGAGGATGTCTCAAGGCACCGGGACAGGAAAAACTGCAGGAAGACAGAGACAGATGGTAAAATGGGCGACACGTGGCAGATGAGTTTCAATGTGAAGTAATGCATTTTGGTAGAAAGAATGAGGGGCAATATAGGCGGTAATACAATCTTAAGGGGGGGTGAAGGAACAGAGAGACCTGGGGGGCAGGTAACTGGATCCTTGAAGGTGGCAGGACAGGGAGATAAGGCTGTAAAGGGGCATATAGGATACTGGGCTTTATAAATAGGGGCATAGAGTACAAGAGTCAGGAGGTGATGATTAACCCATATAAACACTGGTTAGGCCTCAGTTAGAATACGGCCCCAGTTCTGGGCCCCACACTATAGGAAGGACGTTAAGGCATTGGAAAGGGTACAGAGGAGATTTACGAGGATGGGACCAGGAATGAGGGACCGTGATGATGAGGAAAGGCCGGAGAGGCCGGGAATATTCTCATCGGAGCAACGAAGGTTACGAGGACCTAATAGAGGTCTTCAACATCATGAGGGGATTTGATGGGTTAGAGAGGGACAAACTGTTCCCACTGGTGGGAGTGTCGGTGACTCGAGGTCACAGATTGAGAATAGTCTCTGAAGGAAGCCGAGGGGAGGGGAGAAGACAGTGCTTCACGCAGCGCGTTGTGGGAATCTGGAACATCGCCTGAAAGGGCGGTGGAGGCCAATTCCATAATTATTTTTAAAATGGGTATTTGAGGAGGACGGGTTTGCCGGTTATGGGGAAAGGGCCGGGGAGTGGGATTGACATTAATTGCTCTATTCAAAGAGCCGCACACACTCGATGGCCCGAATGGCCTCTTTTTGTGCTGTATGATTCTATGATTCTATAATTCTATAAAAAGCATTTTTTTAAGGAATTTGGTGAGAGTGGGACTTCAGTGCATAATTATAAAATATATAAGTTATATTAATATAAAACATGTCTGGGAATATGGCAGGGCAGCTGAGGGAGGTTGCATACACAATGTGTGCCACGTGAGAACTCTAGAAAACTTTGTGTGCCCTGGACAGACACGTGTGTAGAAAGTGGGAAAAACAGTACTCATTACGGATAACATCATGGCAGTGGAAAAAAAGGACATAACCTAGAAACAGAATCAGTGTGGATAGAGATAAAAGATAATCATAGATTCATACAGCACAGAAAGAGGCCATTCTGCCCATTGTGTCTGCACCGGCTCCTGAAACAGCAATCCAACCCAGTCCCACTGGCCCACTTTCTCCCCATAGCCCTGCAATCCTGTCCTCCGCCAATACCCATCTACTTCTCTCTTAAAAGTTGTTATTGGATCGGCTTCCACTACCCTTTCAGGTAATGCATTCCAGATCCCAACACCTCGTTGGGTGAAACATTTTCTCCTAACCTGCCCTCTGTCTATCTATCTTAAACTAACTTATATCAGTGTCCTCGGGTTACTGACCCACATTCCAGTGGGAACAGTTTTTCCCGGTTCAACCTATCAAATCCTCTCATGATCTTGAAAACCTCTATTAAATCCCCTCTTAATCTTCTCTGCTCCAGGGAGAATAATCCTAGTTTCTCTAACCTCTCCTCATAACTAAGGTCCTTCATTCCTGGTACCATCGGGTAAACCTCCTTTGCACCCTCTCCAATGCCCGAACATCTTTCCTAAAGTGCGGTGCCCAGAACTGAACGCAGTTCAGGATCAATCAGTTCAGGAACACAGAAGGGATCAATCACACAAATAGGGGTACTCTGCAGACTACCTAATAGTGGAATGGAGGTAGAGGAAGAAATATGCAAATTAGGGAATTGAGTAAAAGGCATAGAGTAATAATCATGGGGGATTTCAACTATCCCCAAATAAATTGGCCAGAAGAGGTAGGTAAAAGGGATAAGGGAATTAAGTTCCTTCAATGTTTAAAGGACTCATTTCTTACCCAGAATTTAAGCGGCCCAACAAGGGGGAAATTCCTGCTGGATTTAGTAATGGGAAATGAACCAGAGCAGTTAAGAAAAATACGTGTAGGGGATCACCTAGGCAATAGCGATCATAACTTAATAAGGTTTAAGATAAAGATTGAAAAAGACATCAGTATGACAAAGACCAGGATAATAGATTGTAAACAACCTGGTTTTGAGGGGATTAGAATGGAACTTGGGAAAATAAACTGAAAAATAATATTGTCAAACAAAGATAGAGCAGCAGTGGGAAACATTTGAAACAGTGATCAATAGAATACAGGAGAAATATATTCCGCTAAAAAGCAAGACCAAGCTAAATAATAATGAGACACCATGGATGAATAAAGACATGAGGGGAAAGTTGAGACTCAGGAAAGAAGCGTTCACCAAGTACATAAACAACAAGGAAGAGAGAGAGAGCACGACAAAAAAGAATACGAATAAGTCAGGAAAATAGTCAAAAAAATAATTAGGAGGGCACAGAGGAATTATGAAATGAAATCAAGGAATATGAAATGAAATAGTAAAATATTCTACAGACATATAAATAACAAAAGAAATATCAAAATAGGAACAGGGGCTCTAAGGGATAGACACGATCAGCTCACAGACCGTGACAGCAAATTGGCAAAAATATTAAATAATGGGTTTGCCTCAGTATTCACCAGGGAGACGGATCAGGTGGACATGACAGTAGAAGAGATCAAAAAAATATAAATACGTTTAAGATACAAAGGGGAGGTATAATCAAAAAACTAACAAAACTGGTACAGAGATGATAAAACCCCAGGTCCAGATGGTTTGCATCTGCGTATATTAAAAGAATCGAAGGAACAGATAGCAGAGGCACTATTACACATATAGAATAACTCATCAGAAAAGAGTGGTGCCAGAGGACTGGAGGACAGTTGATATTATACCTATATTTAAAAAGGGATATGGAACAATCCCAGGAAACTATAGACCTATCAGCTTAACATCAGGGGTAGGAAAGATAATGGAATCCTTACTGAAGAAGGTAATAGAAAAACATCTAGAAACGGAAAACATAATAAAGAGGAGTCAGCACAGATTTCACAAAGGAATGTCAGGCTTGATCAACCTCATTGAATTCTTTGAAGGGGTAACAGAGAGAGTAGACAAGGGGAATGACCGTGACCCCTGGTTATAGATTCTCCTCCCGGGGAAACAGTCCCTCAGTGTCTACTTTATCAGCCCTTTAAGAATCTTATATGTTTCAATAAGATCCCCCTAATTCTTCTGTACTCTGGAGAATACAGCCCCAGTTTATTCAGCCTCTCCTCATAGGTCAGTCCCCTCATCCCAGGCACTAACCGAGTGAATCTACGCTGCACCCCCTCGAGGGCAAGTGTGTCCTTTTTTAAATAAGGACCAAAACTGCACACAATACTCTCGATGCGGTCTCACCAAAGCCCTATACAGTTGCAGTCAGACTTCCCTACTCTTGTACTCTAAACCTTTGGCAATGAACGCTAACTGCCGTTCGCCTTAGTTGCTGCTGCACTGCAAACTAACCTTTTGAGACTGGTGTACACGGACACCCAAATCCCTCTGAACACTAACACTATCTAATCTCTCCCCCTCTAGAAAATAATCTGTTTTTCTATTTTTTCTACCCGGGTGAATAACTTCACACTTCCCCACATTAAATTCCATCTGCCACCTCCTCGCCCACTCCCCTCGCCTGTCTATATCCCGTTGCAATCTTTTTGCATCATCCTCAGAGCTCACTCTCCCACCGAGTTTAGTGTCATCCGCAAATTTAGATATGTTACGTTCAATGTCCTCGTCCGGATCATTGGTGTAAAATGTAAATAGCTGAGGCCCAACACTGATCCTGTGGCACTCCTCTAGTCACCTCCTGCCAATTCGAGAATGACCCGTTTATCCCTACTCACTGTTTTCTACCCGTTGGCCACTCTTCAATCCATGGTAATATGTTCCCATTAATCCCGTGGGCCTTAACCTTGTGCAATAGCCTTTTGTGTGGCACTTTGTCAAATGCCTTTTTAAAATCTAAATATACTACACCAACTGGTTCCCCCCTCTCTAACCTGCAGATACATCTTCAAACACTCTAAAAGATTAGTGAAGCGTGACTTCCCTTTGTAAAGCCATGTTGACTCTGCCTCATCTTGTTATGGTCTTCCAGGAATCCCATAACGACATCTTTAATTAAGGACTCAAGAATTTTCCCTCCCACTGAAGTCAGACTAACTGGTCTATAGTTCCCCATCTTTTCTCTCCCACCCTTCTTAAATAGTGGTGTCACGTTTGCAATCTTCCAATCAATGGGAACCGTTCCAGAATCCAGAGAATTTTGGAAGATCAAAGACAAGCCATCCACTACCTCAGTAGCCACCTCTTTTTAAACCCGAGGATGTAGGCCATCAGGTCCAGGAGATTTATCAGTTTTAAGACCTGACAATTTACCTAAAACCATTTCTT